TTTGTATTTGAAAGTCAGAGTTAGAGAAGGAGAGGGAGGGTCCTTCATTCACTGGGTCACTCTCCAGATGACTGCAATGGCCTGGGTTGGGCCAGGCAGTCCCAAGCTACAAGCCAGGAGCTTCTTCCAGGTCTCCCACATGGGTGGCAGGGGTCAAAACACTTGAGTCATCTTCTGCTGCTCTTCCCAGTCCATTAGCAGGGAGCTGGATGGGAAGTGGAGCAGCTGGGAATCAAAACTGGCATCACAGGGCCGGCGCCGCGGCTCACTAGGCTAATCCTCCGCCTAGCGGCGCCGGCACACCGGGTTCTAGTCCCGGTCGGGGCTCCGGATTCTGTCCCGGTTGCCCCTCTTCCAGGCCAGCCCTCTGCTGTGGCCAGGGAGTACAGTGGAGGATGGCCCAGGTGCTTGGGCCCTGCACCCCATGGGAGACCAGGAAAAGCACTTGGCTCCTGGCTCCTGCCATCGGATCAGCGTGGTGCGCCGGCCGCAGCGCGCCGGCCGCGGCGGCCATTGGAGGGTGAACCAACGGCAAAAAGGAAGACCTTTCTCTCTGTCTCTCTCTCTCTCACTGTCCACTCTGCCTGTCAAAAAAAAAAAAAAAAAAAAAAGAATCACAGGCAGCGGCTTAAACCGCTTCCCAAAAACACTACCTCTCCCGCCTCCACCACCTTCTTTACTAGGGCCCCTTCTCTCAAGGGCAAATATAGGAACAGTGGACACCTAATTGCTAATTGTTGTTAGGAACAGGTAACTTTCATCGACAACGTGTATTATTTTCATCTAAAATATTTCAGTCATGAAGAAAATTCCAGTCATTGTAAGTGAGCATCTTTAAAAAATATGGATGTTGCTATTATCACACATAACAAAAACATCATTCCTTGGTGATTAAACACTGAATATTTAGTATTTACTATGCAATACCCAGTGCTTAATCAAGTTTCTCTGATTGTACCAAAACAAGTCTATTTGATTTGTTGGAATCAGGATTCAACAAGTCCACATGCTGCACTGTAATATTTGCCCATTCTTAATTTTCTCTTCATCTAGATGTGTCTCTTCCCTTCCTTTCCTTCTTATCATATAATGGAACTGTTGGCTAATCTACAATCTCTAACAGGCCAGGGATTTAACATTTATGCCAGGAATGACTAATGGTTGAGGGTTTCAGGACAATTAAAAATCAGTGAGAATGGAAAGCCAAAATATATCTGGGGACAGGCACTGTGGAACAGGTTAAGCCACTGGCTGCGACCCCCATCCCATACCGGCATGTCCATGCTGGCTACTCTGCTTCTGATCCAGCTTCCTGCCATTGCATCTGGGAAGGCAGCAGCAGCATGGCCTATGACCTTGGGTTCCTGCCACCCACACGGGAGACTCAAACGGAGCTCCTGCCTCCAGGCTGCAGGCTGGCACAGCCTTGGCTCTAGGGGCATTTGGGGAGCAAACCAGCAGATGGAAGATCTCTTCCCCTCTGTGACACTCTGCCTCTCAAACAATACATTGTTTTAAAAATATTTTACATCAGGAAGAGATTCAGAGCAAGACTGTTTTGTTTAAGCATGAAGATGGTTCTTTTTAAGAGAAGTCACAAAAAACCAAGACACTGGGTGTTAGCCTTGGAATGTCACTAAATACTGACCCTCAGTATCTCAGAGCCACCATCTTCATTCCTAATGTGCAGTCATGATATAAAAAATGAAAGAATTTAAGATTAGACGAATTCCCATGTTCTCCACACAAATTTGGTCACTATAAGTGTGTATTTGCTTGTGCAGAAAAAACTCCATAAAAGGTGTGAGAAAATAATCCCCAGATCAGAGTAAGATGGCACAGACACAGTGACAAAACGAGACTACACAATTTCCTCGTTAACTTGTCATTTAATGTAAATGCTGACAGAAAGCAGGTACAGACCTTGCAGACACTCCCATATGTATACACTCCAAAGGCGGGTCACCTCCTCCTCCTGTTAGAGTAAACCCTTTCATCTGCCACTCACGGGAGCCTTGACCACTAACGGAGCAGCACAGGCGGAGCCAGTTTCCAAGGTAAGAGAGAGAGACAGCATTCTACACAAAGTGTGGCATCTCTGCTATCAATGACACGCACACAAATAATACAAAACAGAAAAAGACGGCCCTAACCCTCTCAAAATCTGCAACGAGTGGAACATCTATTTTATTCAAACCCAGAATTCTGTTGCCCTAAACGTCTTCCGACTGCTATTTCTTCCCCTCCCCCACTTTACTTTTTTGAAGACTGTGTCAAATTGGAAATATTAAAGATTTTAAGAGAGGAAAGTGGTTCATTCTTTTAAACAAGGTTCTTTTTTTGATTCCAGAAGAACTTTTTGGAGAAAAAGCCTTCAAATAAGATTTCACAGTTCACCAGATGCTAAGGAGTTATTCACAGCTTGTGAAATTCCAACCCATTACCTGTCCTCGCCTTTTAAGAAGTTGGAAGCATTTGAAAAATGCAAACTTTCACACAAAATTCAGCGATTTAAAAATAAGCTGTAACTTTAAGGCTCAATATTTTTAAATTTCTGAATGAGCAGGTACAGACAGACAAGAAAGAACAGGAAGCTGAAGCAATAAGAAAAACAGAAATGCAGGAAAACTTTCAAACAATGGTATTCTGTCTAGCATTGCTTCATAAGAACAGGAGGTATCAGTTCTGTGTGAAGCTGACTCCAATCTCATGGGCTCCTCTCAATCTGGATTGTTTCTGTCTTGTTAAATATACCTCTGCAGGGCACAATCACGTACAATCAATACGATTGGTAAATTACACAAGCTCTATCTCAAGCAAATATGCATCAATTCAAAAAATTACTTTAAAAAACCCACAAAATAAAACAAAATAAAATCCACCCAAAAAGGTGATAATGACTGCAGAATGTCTCGGGGAGACTGGTATGAGCCTGAAAGACCAAACTGACCACAGACATGGAAAAGGACACGGGGGGGGGGGGGTGACAAGGCGAGACCACACACACAAAGAGGAATCTCACAACTGGAAAATGTTTGAGTGGGTAAAAGGTTTAATTCCTTACTTCAATTCATTTTTCCATTGCTCATGTTCCCCCAAATCACAGATCCATAATCAAGTAAGATAATGAGACCCATGGAGCAATGAATTAAATGGGGGAAAATTTTTTTCAAATTTCTTTTTATTCCCAGAGATGGGAAGAGGAAAAGGATAAAGAAGGGCTAAGTATGAAAATTTAGGCAACAAAACACACAGAAAAAACAGCTCTCAGGACAGTGTCTTAGGTGAACAGAGCATGTCAAAATGATAAACACTTCAAATGCCTTTAAATCCGAGGGATTTTTTTATAAGGTGGTTCAACTATAATTGTTAGAATGGCAGCCAATTAATGGAGTGAGATTACACTGAAAAATGGTGGTTTTTAAAAATCCAGCAAAACCAAAACAAAACAGGCAACTTATTATCCACAAAGCAGTTTCTTTCCAACTTTTTCTCGAAGCTTTCATGCAGGGGAGGAGGACCACCTGACAGTTTCCAGTTATAAGATGACTCTGAGCATACAACCTACAATGGATGCCAAAGACTTGTGAGCTCTGCTTAGAGGCAAGAAAAAAAAAACTTAAGCCAAAGGCAAAACCAAGTAAAATCCAACCAGAAACAGGGAGACCTCAATATAAGAAAATAAGTCACCTTATCTAGTATACATTAGGATGACAAATTCCACAGGATTGAGTTTTTCTAAGTATACATTTTGGACACAATATAGTCTTGAGGTGTAAGTTCTTCCTTTTCAACTATTGTGCCTTATGAAAATAAGGGCTACTACAATAGGGATGTTTTGCTCAGGGATAAAGTTTAGGGGAAACTCAGTGTCAGCTAAGTCCAGAGATTCCAGCATAGCAGTGAGCTAAGTCCCTTTATCACCAGGATTTCAGTGGCACTTTACCCACTCATTCAGTGCAGCACTGAGAGCGTTTACCGGGAACACTCAGCATGCAAACATCTCTCCTTTCCTGAGGGGAATGGTTTCTTTTATTAACATTACAGCTAGTATTATCAACTAGAATCTATGATATGTGAACAATCTCTATCACAGAAATAGATCGTAAAGATCCAGATCTTAAATTGTTTACTAAAGTTAATAGTACTTTTTTTTTTTTTGCAAAAATAGCTCTTTTTGAAGTAGCTCAGAATAGCTGAATGGAGAAAAATTTTCACGTTAACTCCAACCCACCTACAACTCCCAGTAAGTCATTTCAGCAGGACAACTTCACAAGGCTGAGGTGAAGCAACAAATAAATATGAAAGTCATCGCTGTTCAAGGTAGAACGGCATGGGTGCGGACTGGCAAAATGGGCACGCAGGTGAAAGGATGACAGCAGCACACCACGTGCTTGTGCAGTCCCTAAGGCTGAAAGTAAAATTTGTTCTTAGCTAAGTAGCTCTGATTTTCACTTAAAAGAACAGGTATATTTTTCTCAGAGGAAGAAAACTTTTTACGGTAAAGTCTAAGCAAACTGTAGCTGACTTCCAGAGAAGTTATGAATTTCCCCTAAATAGTGACAAGGACATTCCTTTTAATGAAATATACAGCATGACAAGTGATTTTTGCAGATACACTTTATACATGAAACCTTTACTTAACTCTTTAAATGAGTAAAAACAAAGTGGAAAAATGATAGTGAGACCTTTGTCCATCACCATTTGTATGTAAGAGAAACTGAATGATAATCTTTAGTGAAAACAATGTATTTTTCTCTGAATGTGAATACAATTCAAACATGTACTTACTACATTTCATTATTTCTCACCAGTCACATGCTCAAGAATTCTCACACCCAGACACACGACTTGACCACAGTGACGGTGGATCACACTTCAGGCACAAGTGAAAACACATGAAAGCGCTGAGGATGCTGTCCCTAACAAGATGACCTCAAAGGCTGCACAGGGAGACGCTTGCGGTATTGTAAAAGATGACATTCACTTTTAAGAGAAACTGATGAATTTTCATTACTTTTATATTTAATAAGGTCAGCTAACTTTAACAGTTAACTTTGGATCAATCTACTTAAACAATACAATCAACTCACAAATACTAAAAGGTTTCAAAATCAAAATGGCTATTACTTTCCCCAAAACCAAAACAGAGTAAAGCACAAGTCTTTGGCTCTCCTTTAAAGAAAACAGCAGGTTACCAATCTTAATCAGACCTTTGTTTGCCTACCAGTAGGGCAAATACCACATTTGTGCATCACTGAGTAATAACACCATTAGAAAAGGCAACTTCATAGAAGTTATTGGCTAAGCGAATTCATTTGAATGCTCTGTTTTGAGGCAGCAAACTGTCACTGTTGCAGATTGGGGAGGACAGTGGGTAAGTCAAGGGGAGATTGCAGAATGGAAAAAGAGACAGGAAAACAGAGAAGACAACTCACTCTGACCTCCAACCCTAAGACCAATAGAGTCTAATGGAGTTACAGATTCAAAGTAGCAAAAGAGAATCCTGCCGATTTTATCTTTCAGGCAAAAGAGTAAGTAAATGGAAAGAACAGGAGAGGGAAAGTGAGATGAGATGGGAGAAGGGAATCACCTGTATCAATCCTGTTTTATACACTCTGGATAGCTGAACATCTGTGGTTGGCATTAGGAACAGCGTCTTACAATTTGAATATGATTACTAGAAACCTATGTCAAATTAACTTTTAAATAGAAAAGTAGTAAAGAATGTATCTTTGGTCCCTTCAGCTTCAGTAAATTATCCAAGTAAGGATATTTTATTTTAATCAGAATTTTTTTTTTTAATATGCCAGGAAGTTGAATCTAGAAGTCTTATCTTCAATTTTCTATCCCTTTCAGAGACTTCTTGAAAAGAATATGTCAAAGTACTTTGTATTCCCTCACTCTAATAATTTGGTTTTGTTATCTAAATAAGAGTGAATACAATGCTTATTATTCCTACCTTAACCCTTTCAAAGCTGTTCATTTAAAATGTCTAAATCTTCCTTTTGAATTCAGTGAAAAGCAAAGCCATCATCAGAAGAAACTAATATTTTAATAAGTAGAAAGCATAAAAACTGTACTTCCTATATGATTGGCTTCATCTCTTAACTGTTCCATAAAGAAAAAATAAAATTAAAAAGTCAAAAAATTAATGCCTTTCCGATTCTGATTAAAAAAAAAAAAAAAAAGGCAGTTAAAGAGGCAAACAGCTATGCCTGATCAGGCCACTTATTCGTCTGGGCTCGTCCTATACCAAGTATACCACAGAGCAAAGGAGACCGGGAAACCCACACTGCAGGGGGTTTTGTGAATTACTAAACCTGCTGGAGGTCATCAGGAAACTTGCAAGAAACTCTGTTAGGTTAGGCAGAATGACCAGTGCCAAGTACAGGTTACAGGCACAGGAGGACAGCATACCATCCTCCTGCCTTTCTACCCAGGCAGACATCAGGAGAACAGAACTTTAACAGGGGATAGCTGGAATTCAGGCTACAATGTAGGAGGCTTTAAAAATAAAAAACCGAATGAAAATACATGACAATGAGAAAGACACCTATTTTAAATCAAATCCAAACATTAGTTTTTCTGGTTTTGTTCAGAATAGGAATAATCTGTAAATCAATCTCTGTCTCTCCATGGCCAACAAAATCAAAATGGCAAAAGCAGGAAGTGCGTCTGAGGAAGGAAGAACAAAAATAACAGAAACTGAGTCACTGGGGATGTCAACAGACACCCCAAGTAGGGATTTATTTTTATTCTGGACTTCAACATTAATAGCCATAAATTATCTTCCAAAGCCAGAATCATTCTGAATTCCAACAAGGACCAATTCCTTCTGAAATGTAGGAATTATCTCCATGGGCACTGGAGAATTGAGATCTGCCTAAGCATGCCTACAGAAGGTTGGAGGCCACTAAGGTTATTTTTTATGCTGAGAAATGAAAAATCCTGGGACTCCGTGAGACACACAAAAGTTCCTTTCCTTCTCCCAATAAATAATAAGAATTTAAAATGTAAATACAGGAGGGTTTTAAGTAAAAATCAAAAAAGACAAAAAAAAAAGGGCAAATGTACATTAAACAAGGAAACTGGACATATCAACTGGAAAATGCCTCACCTTCAGTCAGTGCTTCTACCTCCCAATCAGTCATTTTACCGCAACAGCTGCGCTCATGCGAAGAAATCCTTAAAACATACCTAATATATATACAGATATAGCTATGTATATATGTATATATATAATATATATAAAATTTTATTTAAATAAAAAAGAAAGCTCGAATCCCAAGCCAATATGTGTATATCAAATCCTTGACCAGCCAGGTCTGTAGGGCATAATCAAATTCAATGTGAAATAGTATATTAACACGGTGCCTTGACTGGGCAAATTAAATAATCGCTACTCAAAAGAGTGTTCTGTTTGGACTCTCCTACTGGTAGGCAATGGCAGGACTGTATTACCCTTCCCACCCCCCTATTTGTTTCAGTTAACAGTATGGTGGACACAGAGCTTAGACTGAGGCTGTTATGACCTCAGCAGGAGTTAAGGGTTAAGAAAATAAGAAACAACAAAATACAAACTTCTGCTTTTACCCAACCAAAGCAATGCAGTAACTTATTACATAACCAGTGCTTTCTGATTTGGCAGTATAATCCAGAAAAGGAAACTGAAACAATCAGGCAAACACAAGGATGGAGAGGGTGACAATATGAAACAACCCCCACTAAACATGTTTCATGGGGGCTTAGTTGAGTATAGACTCCTGGCATCAGAATATGTGCAGCAGAATTAAATAACAGAAACATCCTTCCTTACTCTTTTCAACATTTTCATGAAGAAATTTCTCAATACTGAAAAGCCAAGATTATGAAAACGGACTTCAAGGTACTTACTACCCATTATGCTAATGACTCTGAGCAGCAACAAGCGACTGCTGAGTAATTCGTAACATCTCATTGCAAGACTCGGGCCGTGCATGTTTGCCAAATTTCTCTGCAGGCCCGACAGGCTCCGCTGCATAAAGATTTTTATTTTATACTTCTCCGTTTTGAGAGTCAAGAGAAACATCCACTGAAATAATGTGCCTCTGTTTATTTTAAATTCAAATCAAGTGTTACAATTTTAAAATATGAATGACTATTCTGGTTTTTGAACATTCTATGATTTCAACCTAAGTTTAACTTAGAAAGCACAGCTCCAAATTTCCAACCATGAGCTCAATGAAGACAATACACTAACTGTGTATTTTTGCTGCTAGTAAATTAGTTCATCCTTGAAGCAATTTCTGCTTAAATCTAACCATACAATCCAAACACTCAATTGGCTTTCTATTACACTAATGCAAAGGATCTTCAGTATGGAAATCAAGGACCTGATAATTATTAAGTATCTGATAAACAGAAACAAGAAATACAATGTTCCCAAACTCAAAATTTTCAGTATCATAAGAGAAATATTCATGAAGCTAGTGATCCAGGAAGGGGAATTTGAAATAAGAGCTTCGAGAGAAGTTGGTTTGCTGCACATTTTCTAATAACTCGGTCTATTACTGCCTCTTTGTTTCACAAGCACCACAGAATTCTCAAAGACCAGTGCTTTTTGTCTACTTTAGTTTATGGGAGATGAGAGTTGGAAAGGGTTGGGGGCAAGGAATTATACACTGGGTATGTAATAATACCAAAATACAAGAAAAACCTACTTCATTAAGATCATACAATTAATCAAACAGAGTGTATATATAATATCTTCTTTTTTTTAAAGCCCTGGATCCAAGGCGTCCAAAGTTATTAAAATAAAGTTCATTCACAGAACAAAAACAAATTTAATCTGAATTGCTTGCAGATACTGCTAATTTTCTTTTTCTTTAAATTAAAAAATGCATTTATGTGAACTATGTGCAGGGTTGTTTTAGTAGTGGTATTTGTGCACATTGCCTCCGGTACTTTTCCTGGGCTTCTCTGACCACTTGCAGAAGACACACAGAGAATTCCTCATGTGTCAGGGAGCGGAACTGGGCGGAACTCCGGGTCTCTGGGAGTCATTACTGCCCCTCCTCCCTCAGGGTCCTCTGACAGGCTCAGAGAGCTGGTCTTGTTGGACAGGAGGCTGACGTTCTCTTGAGTCGAGGCCGATCCATTTGGAACATCACTGTTTGGAATTTTCAGAAAGGAAAGAGAAAAATAATTATTTAGTGGAATAAAATAAACAAGGAAGGCCTATCATTTAGCACTATGGAGAAACACATAAATGACTTCCCACTTTTAAATTATAGTTCTCATCCATGTTAGCACAGGGTTAGCAAATTAAACCCAGCCAACAGCCTGTTTCCTAAAAAAAGTTTTACTGGCACACAGCCTGTCCATTTGTTTATGTATCTGCTGCTGATTGCACACTGCAGAGTTGAGAGATGTACTGAAGCCTGTAAGACCTGTATATTTTTTTAAAGATTTATTTATTATTTGTTTGAAAGTCAGAGTTACACAGAGAGAGGAGAGGCAGAGAGAGAGAGAGAGGGAGGGAGGGAGGGAAGGAGGGAGGGAGGGAGGAAGAGAGGTTTTCCATCCGCTGGTTCATTCCCCAGATGGCCGCAACGGCTGGAGCTGCGCCGATCCAAAGCCAGGAGCCAGGAGCTCCTTCCAGGTCTGCCACATGGGTGCAGGGGCCCAAGGACTTGGGCCATCTTCCACTGCTATCCCAGGCCATAGCAGAGAGCTGGACAGGAAGTGGAGCAGCCAGGTCTCGAACCAGCACCCATATGGGATGCCGGCGCTTCAGGCCAGGGCGTTAACCCATTGCACCACAGCGCTGGCCCCAGGCCTGTATCTGAAAATACTGACTACCTACCCCTAAAGTATTGACCTTTGATTTAGTAGGTTTACTACTATAAGAAATTATTTTGAACCTAGGGCCATGCACAGATTTAAAATAACCAAAACCCAAGATTGAAACCAACCAGGCATTCAAAATTCTTGTTATTTACCATCAGGAGAACAACTCAGGACTATGCATTCAAAAGCCTCAAAATATTCTGAGAAAACAAAGATGTGCAAACGAAGAACTAATTATAACTGTTGAGTTGCTCAGGAGAGTTGATATGTTTTCTTCCACACATGTAGAATACTGGATAGGTAAAACTGAAAACCAGGGCAGTGGCATGGTGGCTGGGTAGGCTCAGAAAACCAGAAGCGACCAAATGCCAAATATATACTTGAAAAAGACTAAAAAGATATACACCAGAATGTTAGCACCAGTTATCTCTGGGCAGTACAATTACAGATGATTTTAAAATTTGTCCTTTTTCTAAGATTTTCAACTTCCTATAATTCAATTTTCTTCAACATATTTAAAATAAGGGAGTAAGTATTTTCTCTTCTAAAATTTTCTTCATATACTTTAACACCAAGCATTCATTATTTCATAACTTGAAACATAATGTTAAATTTAAAATAAAATTTTAAAATGAGAAGAAATACAACCAGAAAATGTGATTTGTTAGTATTAACAGATAATTCAATGTTGGATCTAAGTTTTGTAACTCCTAAATTAATGCAAAAATAGTCTTACCCAATGGCATTTTAAAGAGCAAAACATATTTACGAGAGTACTTGTGATGTGACTAAATCATGTCATTTTTTCTCTTGTATGTGCAGCTCAGTAAGAATCTGCAAACATCCCTTTCTGTACCTGAATGTCAATGTGAGGTCCTCAGCTGGAACCTTGGTTTGTGGTTCTGGTTGTCCATTTTCTGCTTGCTTACTTGGGTTCAATTTGCTTTTCATGTCCAGGGAACACTGGTTTTCCTTTGAAAACAGAAATGAAATCAGTTATCTTCTGTGTAACAGCATTAATGGGACAGACCAAATAAAAATGATACAAACAAAATGAGGGTCCAGGAATGCCCAAAGAAACATGCAGGGAAGGACACGGCCTCAAGCTGCCATGAAAAATCTCACAGAAAAAAAGAATGACTTAGGATAAATAAGCTCAGGGGCTGGCATGGCAAAGCAGGTTAAGCAGCCGCTTGCAACGATGCATCATCCCAGGCTGCACTGCCAGCGGGCATCCCACTGCTCTGCCCGATAATGCACCTGGGAGAGCCGCAGAGGAGGCCAAGTACCTGAGCAGCTGCCATTTACGCTGCAAACTCAGATGGCCTTCCAGGCTACTGGATTCAGCTTGGCTTAGCCCCAGAAATTGTGGCAATTTGAGAAAGATATGTCTCTCTGCCTTTCATATAAATAAACTATTTAAAAAGAAAGAAAAAGCAAGCCAAAGTATGGTAGCCACCCATGATATACTTACTGAAAGCAGGAAAACTACACAGCCAATCTATTTGCTTGGAAAGAATGTGAAAATCATGCCACAAAAAAGTCAAATGCAATGCAATGCAATGCAATCTGAGAGAACGGCTAACTCCCCTGAGATTCAAATGCACTGAAATGCATGTCAGCATAATGGGAAGCAAGCTCCATAGGAAGGAATGTGTAGACTGCATCTCATAACAAAAAATAAGTCATCAACAATTTAAAGACTATGAATTTTATATGGTAAATACATCTTTTTATTTTATTTGAGAGTTCAAGAGATCTTCATTCTTCTGGTTCACTCCCCAAATGTCTACAACAGATAGGATTGGGACAAAGCTAAAGCCAGGTATCCAGAACTCAATCTGGGTCTCCCACACAGGGAGCAGGATCCATGCACTGGAGCTGTCCACCTGCTGTCTCCCAGGGTGCACATCAGCAGGAAGCTGGAACTGGAACTGGAGGTCAGACTTGAACTCAAATGCAACAATTTGTGATATGGGCATTACAAATAGTGCTTTAACTGCTATGCCATACACACACCCCTGGTAAATACATTTTAATATCATATGATGTTACTGCAAAATAAACACCATCCTTTCTGCTTTCCTAATCAATATGAAAAACAGAAATTTAAGAATTTTATTATCCCTACAGGCTAATAAAGAATCCTGTGACAAATAACACATCCAAGCCAAAGAGAAATGAGGGGCCGGCGCTGTGGTGCAGCAAGTTAACGCCCTGGCCTGAAGCGCTGGCATCTCATGTGGGCACCGGTTCCAGTCCCGGCAGCTCCACTTTCGATTCAGCTCTCTGTTGTGGCCTGGGAAAGCAGCAGAAGATGGCCCAAGTCCTTGGGCCCCTGCACCTGCGTGGGAGACCCGGAAGAAGCTCCTGGCTTCGGATCAGCGCAGCTCTGGCGGTTGCAGCTAGTTGGGGAGTTAACCATTGGATGGAAGACCTCTCTCTTCTCTCTGTGTAACTCTGAGTTTCAAATAAATAAATGTATCTTTAAAAAAAGGAGAAATGAGAATAATAGTAAAATAGGGAGGTATTCCATCTTCATGAGAATTACTCAAAATCATCTGTCAGAGTAACCTGGAGTGAGACTTTATAGGTCTAAAGAATTCTAGAGTTCTAAGAGTTTTGTGATATAATCATGCAAGATTTCATTTCACTGTTCCTCTCTTTTCTTATAACACTTACCATACTCAGTTCCCGGGTTCTCTTCCCTATTTCCCTTTCCACTTGGTGTAGTTCCAAGCTCAGCTGCTCACTTGAGATCATTCCAGGCCATTTTGGAGGTGGCGGTGGGGGCTGTGGCTGGCCTGCCAGGGTGTTCGCCTCCCTCTGCAACAGCAGCCTGTTACTAACAGCCTAGTGCATAAAGCCAAGCACATATACAACTCAACACACATTCACATCATGCATGGAATAACCACGCCCAATTCCAGTCCAGTCTTAAGTAACTTATCACCCAAGTTTTTGCAGTAACAGTGATGCAACTCTAAGGCACTATCTCTTTGATTGCCACTGAATTTAAAAAGGAAAAAATAGAGGATTTAAATGTAGTGAATAATTTCACCTTAGAAATAAATTGCCCTTTTAGTTTTCTTACTTGAAAGAGAAGTACCTATGTGCATGTCCATGCCCATGCCCTCCCTGCCTTTTTTAATAGTTAATTTTCTCTCTGAAGCAAACCCTGTATTTTAATTCAATGCAATTTCTTTTTTCTTTCTTTTTTTCCTTTTTTTTTCTTTTTTTTTTTTGACAGGCAGAGTGGACAGTGAGAGAGAGAGACAGCGAGAAAGGTCTTCCTTTGCCGTTGGTTCACCCTCCAATGGCCGCCGCTGCCGGCGCACCACGCTGATCTGATGGCAGAAGTCAGGTGCTTCTCCTGGTCTCCCATGGGGTGCAGGGCCCAAGCACTTGGGCCATCCTCCACTGCACTCCCGGGCCACAGCAGAGAGCTGGCCTGGAAGAGGGGCAACCGGGACAGAATCCGGCGCCCTGGCCAGGACTAGAACCCGGTGTGCCAGCGCCGCAAGGCGGAGCATTAGCCTAGTGGGCTGCGGTGCAGGCCCAATGCAATTTCAGTAATAGAAAGAATAGAAAGGACGTTTTTTTTTTTTTTTCTTTTTTTTTAATTTGAGAGACAGAGTTACAGAGAGAGGTAGAGACAGAAAGAGAGGTCTTCATCCACTGTTTCACTCCCCAAATGGCCAGAGCTGAACCAATCTGAAGTCAGGAGCCAGGAGCTTCTTCCAGGTCTCCCACATGGGTGCAGGGGTCCAAGGACTTGGGTCTCCCAGGCACATCAGCAGGAAGCTAGATAGGAAGTGGAGCAGCAGGACTCAAGCTGGCATCCAAATGGGATGATGGTACTACAGGCCAAGGCTTTAACCAGCTGGGCCACAGCGCCGGCCCCAGCAGAAAGGACTTCTAACCAAAGTAACACAGTATATGGCAAGCTTCCCAAATAATACTGCTATTCTTTTGAGACAGAAAATGCATCTAGAAACTTCAAATAAGACAGAAAGGCAAGAATTTGGTGATGAGTAATGCCTTACTGGGGTTGAAAGTCTGAATCTTAATAAAATTAAGGAACTAAAGGTCAACATAAGCAAACAGCATTCTATTTTTTAGTAGGAATCAGCAGGAAGTTTTAGACCAATGGAAACAAAGCAATGGTAAAAGCAGACAAAATTTGAGTACTATATAGATTTTTAAACGTTTCTTAATGCTTACTTATGGCACCAGATATGTTCTAAAAATAATCTTCTGTCCAAGGTCAAGATGTGATAACACTTTATAAGCTATAAAGAACTATGTAAATGAAAGGTTATTATTATTATTACACAGGGGTTATATTTTGTTTTTAAGTCAAATTTCTAAGTTTCTAAAGATGTCTAAGATTAAAGGAAATAAAGAGTAAATTAAAAATTCTAAAGCTAAAAGCATTTGTCGATAAAACACTATTTACCTTAAACTTAACTGTGCCATCTTGGAAGACAATCTCCTTCTTGGAAATTTTACATAATCCTCTCTCACATAGGAACAATTCTGAGTTTCCTATTGTCCCAGAACTGAAACTAGTACTGAATTCTTTGAAGAATAAACATGGATACTAGGGCCGACACTGTGGCGCAGTGGGTTAACACCCTGGCCTGAAGCGCTGGCATCCTATATGGGGGCCGGTTCAAGTCCCGGCTGCTCCACTTCCAATCCAGCTCTCTGCTGTGGCCTGGAAAAACAGTAGAACATGGCCCAAGTGCTTGGGCCCCTGCACCCGCATGGGAGACCCGGAAGAAGCTCTTGGCTCCTGGCTTTGGATCGGTACAGCTCCAGCCGTTGCAGCCATCTGGGGAGTGAACCATTGGATGGAAGATCTCTGTCTCTCTCTCTGTCTCTACCTCTCTCTGTAACTCGTTCAAATAAATAAAATAAATAAAATAAAACATGTATACTAACTCTTGAGAGACAGACCTAGAATTTGTATGTTCATAGTACCTCAAAAATTCCTCCATTTAATATCCCTAAGAGCCCTTTAAAAATTGTGATGACAAAGTATCTACAGGCTGGCACCTCTAGTCCACGCAGCTGGGTCTGCTGGTTAATCTGATGATTCAGTTGCTGCAGTTCTAGTCGTAGCTGTTCTCGATCTGCAGATGGAAGGGCTTTTCCATGACTGGCTACTTCCGACATAGGCATTCTTTCCCTTTGGTAAGAAAAGACAGCATGGAGCAAATTTTAAAGTTTTATTTTGTTAAAATGTTATCGACTAGAAAAGCAAAATAAGAAAGGCTATGTAATTTTAAAAGTTTGGAAAAGGGAAAACAATGACTCATACCTCTCACTGAAGTGTCCCTGAGAAGGTATGTTTTGATGAGGTGAGTATGGAGAACCTCCCCAGCCACCGTGGGTTCCATACGGACTGTAATCTGTGAGAGAGTAACTTACTGTAGTATGATGGAATTCATAGATTCAGTTAAGACACCCATAATCTACAAGGCATAGGTATAATGTGTATGTAGCTGCATGCAATATATTTAGCAAAATAACAGAATAACAAGGCGTTGCTATTTGTTTCTTCCCCACTGAACTTTTAGTATTTGTATTTTTTCCTACAGTTTGAAGTGTTTTATAATGAGAACCCATTATTTTAACATAAACAATGAAGTCACTTAAAGAAATAGAAGCCATCTTGATGGGTATTTTGGTTTATTCCCCTAAACCCGCCATGGGTTATAAGTAACTTTCCTACAGAAAAATTCCATGGGAAAGTTTGAAAATTACTGCGTTGGAAGGTTACTGAAAGCAGTAAAAACTAACGGGGATGAGGGGGTGATGCTGAGAATCACGGACACGAATACTCTCGATGAGCGTACCTCCAGCAGTCTTACCTGAAATGTTAATGGATTTTGTGGGAGCTCCCTGAGGTGCCATAGCCTGCATGGGGCCAGCACCTTGATAAATTGTTTTAGAAGTTCGAGAGATGGCACCAAACCGAGATACTGTTGGTCGGTCTCCAAATGGAATAAGGTCGTCATCACTGGTTTCCGCTGCTCTTCTCTGAAGATCTAATCGTTGATCTCTCATTCCTTTACTTTCCACATTCTGATAAAAATGCAAAATGAGAAGTCTACCTCACACGTAGATCTCTAATGTAAGGCTAAATAACAGTATAGTGCTCTTACTAGAAAGACTTAAATCATTAATTGCCTTTGGCTGTCATACAAGATATTTTTATTAACTGATTATTCCTTACAGTTAGAAATATATTTTATATTACCATGACCCCAGTACCTATATATACAAAAAATATGTATTTACCCCTATACCATATATGCTTTATATGTAATATTTTTATATATACATACATCCCTAGGTCATTTGTCCATACAATAACATCTAAGAAGCACTGGGTTAGGCTTCTTTTACCTAATTGAGAGGTTTGAAATAGTGTATTATTATAAGGTTATAATATAATAACCTGTTCTGAAAGCCAACCAGGAAGGAAGGGTGCCTATCTAACTCCACTTCCTCTTGTCCTTCCAGTGAGAAGCTTCCTAAGGCCCAATCACAGTATTTTCCTAGTCCTGCTACAGAAAAGCAGAAGGGCTGGTTTGCTTTTTCCTCCTCTATATGCCTTTCTCTTTTTTCTTCAGCAGGGATCTAATTATATTTATTGCTATACAAAGATCTTCACGTTTTGTAGTGGTACCACAATTCAATTCTTTTTCTATTATCAAGAATTTGTCTTTTCTTAACCAGGTAGATAAGTATTAATCTATGAAAACTTATGTAACCAGGGAGCCTTTCTTAGAGTTAATAAAGGCAACTGGATTAAGAACAATAGTCAAGCCACACCTTCAACCCAGCAACACCATTTATAAGCCTAACTTCTGTGCACAAGGAGACTTTAACAGCAATATAGTATACCAGTTAGCATTCAATATCTAAAAAAAACATAAAATGAATGAACCTGACCTACTTAAATCTGAAATGCAATCTTAAAACAATGTGTCTTAAAAATCTGCTAAAAGGGCCGGCACTGTGCATACTCTTAAAAAATAAAAAAATAGATGGCTCAAGTGCTTGGGCCCCTGCCACCCATGTGGGAGACCCTGATGAAGCTCTTGGTTCCTGGCTTCAGCCTGGCCCAGCCCTGACTGTTGCAGCCACCTAGGGAGTCAAACAGCAGATTAAAGATCTCTCTCTCTCTCTCTCTCTCTATCTCATTAAAAAAAAAAAAAAAAAAATCTGTAAACCAAACAACCAAACAAAACCATGCAAATAACAATATTTAGGAACAATATACTATTACTCATAAAAATGATACACACCAATGAGGAAAGAGGTTAATGACAGAGAGGAGACAGAAAAATGACATTAGGGAGGTATATAAGGAAGTTTTAATTACTTCAGAAAAGCTTTATACTTCCAAAACATAAAGCAATTTAGATAAAATACAGACATATTTTAGCATCTCACAACTCCCTTGAAACTGGGCATCTATTCTTGTCTGCCAGATTCAATTTTGTTGTTCAAAGTTCAGAATTGTAACAAAGGCATTAACTTACTTGATGTGGAATTCAAGATCTTGGTTAATTATATAAAATATTTTAGTCTGAGTTTTAAACAATTGTTGGGAAATTGTGACCTTCACAGAAACATAACAAAATGCTCTCCTTTGTCAAGTATTAAAAGATTTTTATTTATATTTGAATGACCAAAAAAACCCATAGAATTTCCATATAATTCAACTGCAGAATACAGAATTTGGTCTGAAACTCTTAAGCAAGGTTCTCAATTATTTGTACCTAAAGTACAACTGGATTTGCTCTATCTCCATGGGTGTTAAATTATGACTGGGCAACATACATACCATCACTTCCACACTCCCTGCTGCCACAACATCTTTGGGTTTGGCATCTTTGGTTCCAATGTAGGAGCCGATGGTATCACATGACCAGGGAGAATATTGGCTATAATCATTTCCTTTATATTTCCCAGCTACCTTCAAGTCTTCATCCAAAAACTATAAATGGAAGGGAAAAAAGGGAAATAATATAGGGAAACAGGTCTGTGAGTAACAACACAGGGAAAGAAACCTCATGTAACATAATAGGATGTATCAGGTTGGTAAGTGTCATAACAGAAGATTTCTGAAGAATACACAAAATAAAAGGAAGTCCAGAGATTTTTTTTTTATCAGAAGGTAAAAAGAAATATCATAATATATTTCCAAGAACTCATGCTAGGATCTTAGAGGAGCTTTGCTCAGCCTGTTCTTCAGTAATGAAGTGAACATTTAAGCAAGTAAGTACCAAGCCATAGTTTAGCTAGATCCCCCTTAATGTTTCTTTTGATAATACCCCCAGGCAAATGAGAACACTAAAAACAACTGCCCCACACTGTGCAGAATGTGTAACATTTTACTGAAATCTCCAACATCAGCAATAATTCATATCCTAAACAAATCTTGGTTCTTGGGTTGATTTAATGGGTAAAAAAAAAAGATGCCTAACTTTTATTTTCTTAAGATAAGTCCTATAATTACCTATTAACAGAACAGCGAACAATGTGCTAGCTGGCGCCATGGCTCAATAGGCTAATCCTCCACCTGCGGCACTGGCACCCCGGGTTCTAGTCCCGGTTGGGGCGCCGGATTCTGTCCCGGTTGCTCCTCTTCCAGGCCAGCTCTCTGCTGTGGCCCGGGAGTACAGTGGAGGATGGCCCAAGTCCTTGGGCCCTGCACCCCATGGGAGACCAGGAAAAGCACCTGACTCCTGGCTTTGGATCAGCACGGTGCACCAGCCGCAGCGGCCATTGAGGGGTGAACCAATGGAAAAAGGAAGACCTTTCTGTCTCTCTCTCTCTCTCACTGTCCACTCTGCCTGTCAAAAAAATAAAAAATAAAAAAAGAGAGACCAATGTGTTTTTTTTTTAAATATATATATATATATGTGAGAAGATGGGTTATAGACAGAGAAAAGTCTTCCATCCTCTGGTTCACTCCCCAAATGGCCCCAACAGCTGGAGCTGGGCTGATCTGAAGCCAGGAGCTAGGAGGTTCTTCTGGGTTTCTCACATGTGCCTAAGCACCTGGGCCATCTTCCACTGCTTTCCCAGGCCATAAGCAGAGAGACGGAGCAGCTGGGACTAGGACCAGCACCCATATAGGATGCCTGTGCCACAGGCAGAGGCTTAGCCTACTACACCTCAGCGCTGGCCCCAAGACTACTATGGTTTTATGAAAATCTCAATATTCAAATTAAGTAATTTTATATTTTCAAAGCTCTTTCATGTGTTTTTTTAAATTTTAATTTTTAAAAATTTTTCTCAAAGATTTATTTCTTTATTTGAAAGTCAGAGTTACACAGAGAAGGAAAGGCAGAGATAGAGAGGTCTTCCATCGGCTGATTAACTCCCCAATTGGCCGGAGCTGCGCCTCTCTGAAGCCAGGAGCCAGGAGCTGCTTCTGGGTCTCCCATGTGGGTGCAGGGGCCCAAGGATTTGGGCCATTTTCTGCTTTCCCAGGCCAAAGCAGAGAGCTGGATCAGAAGTGGAGCAGCCAGGACTTGAACTGGCGCCCATATAGGATGCTGGCATTGCAGGTGTTAGTTTTATCCACTAGGCCACAGTGTCAGCCCCTGTACTTTTTTTAAATGGTTACAAATGCTTTATAAAGTATTACAACATAACATGTACATTATTTTATATGCTCCTTACATCTATGATAGACAATATAGGTGACTTGACTTAAGGCTAAACCAGTATAGGGCAGTGCTAAATTTAGAACTTTAAGATTACAGGGTTGGCATTGTGGCATAGCAGGTTAAGTTGCAGCCTACAATGCCAGCATCCCTTATGGGCACTAGTTAAAGTTCTGGCTGCTTCACTTCTGATCCAGCTCCCTGCCAGTTCACCTGGAAAGTAGAAGGAAGATGATCCAAGTCCTTGGGTCCCTGCACCCAAGGAGGAGACCCAGAAGAAGCTCCCGGCTTCAGACTGGGCCAGCTCTCAGCATTGCAGCCATTCAGGGAGTGAAACAGTGAATGGTCTGTCTCTCCCTCTGTACTCTTTCAAATACATAAATAAACCTTAAACAAAACAAAACAAACAAACAAACAAACAGGGGTAGGCATTTGGCGTGGTGGTCAACATCACGCAGGATGTTGGCATCCCTTGTTGAAATGCCTGGGTTTGAGTACCAGCTCTGCTTCTGATTCAAGTTTCCTGCTAATGCACACTCTGAGAGACAGCAGGTGTTCAAGTTCTTGGCCAACTGGGGAGTGAACGAGCAGATGGAAGATACTTCTCTCTCTCTCTCTCTCTACCTCTCTGTAACTCTGCCTTTCAAATAAATAAATAAATCTTTAAAAAAAAAAGAAAAGAAAACCAAGTATTCTGATATGGTATGTAGGTATCCCAACCAGCATCTTAACCACTGGGTGAACTATCCGTCCCAAATATGCTCATTACTGAATAGTAATACTGGAAAACACAACACCACAAATCAAGACTTCACTGAGGAAATGATGCTCATTTTATTAAGTGATACTTAATGAGATATAATTGGCCAATTATAAATGGGTCCATTATATATGGGTCAATGAGATATAATTAGATCTAGACCTCTAACATTTATATACAAAAATAAATTCTAGATGGATTGTAGATTTAAATGTGAAGTAAAATAATAAACCTATTTTATAAGAAAGAAAACAGGAAAATATATCATAACCTTGGGAATAGGCAAAGATTAAACAGGATTTCAAAAGCAAGCAAACAAAAACTCTTAAAGGAAAGGTTGTGAAATAATATTAAAATTGTGCTCACTTCCTCTTGATGAAAGGTAGGAGGCAGTGTTGGTGAAGGTGCGAAAGGAGGTGGAGATATAACCTTTCTTTCCTCTAACTGGGCCATTATTTCCTTTCGGCGGCGATGGAGCTCATCTAGACTAGGATGGGGCTGCGGAGGTGGAGGAAGCCGGCTGTAAGGAGGTTCCTGAAAATGGAAAAGTTAAAATGGAAATACAGAATTCAAAATACATGAATTCACGTAGAATATATTTTAAACTAGAAGTAGCTTATATATCATCCCAATATTTGGAAAAACCAAAGCTTAATAGAAGAAAGCAAAACAAATACCCCCCCAACTCTCAGCACCTCCCAAAGAGCTAAATTTAGGTCTCTCTTTCTTGGTAGAGATCATAATTTCCTAATAGATCTAGAATTATTAATAAAACTATCTGCTGATTAGTTGGTAGGGAACGGGGCAGGGGGGCAACGAATTTTTCCCAATAATAGTTCTTTTCTTTCTTTCTTTCTTTTTTTTTTTTTTTTTTGACAGGCAGAGTGGACAGTGAGAGAGAGAGACAGAGAGAAAGGTCTTCCTTTTTGCCGTTGGTTCACCTTCCAATGGCCGCCATGGCAGGTGCGCTGAGGCTGGCGCACCGTGCTGATCCGAAGCCAGGAGCCAGGTGCTTTTCCTGGTCTCCCATGCGGGTGCAGGGCCCAAGTACTTGGGCCATCCTCCACTGCACTCCCCGGCCATAGCAGAGAGCTGGCCTGGAAGAGGGGCAACCGGGACAGAATCCGGCGCCCCGCCCTGGACTAGAACCCAGTGTACCGGCGCCGCAAGGCGGAGAAAGTCTATTGAGCCACGGCGCCTGCCCCAATAATAGTTTTTTAAAACCTACCCAAATTATGAAAAGATTAAGTAAAAGGAAAAAAAAACTTCCTTCTAAAAAGAAGAATTGATCAAAGGGTTACTATGGCCAAAAAATAAATAAATAAAAGAGCAAGGAATCACTATAAGCAAAAAATCAAATTAAGTCTAGGCAATAGAAAAAAAAAATCACAGCATACTCTAGGGTACGAAGCTCTGATCTGAGTTGGATGAGGAGTCACTGGATAGTAACCCTCCATCTGTTGGTATCTTTCTCTGGATTCTGGTACATAGGATGGTACTGCTGCAGGTGGAATCTCAATGGGTATAGGGCTTTCTCGGAAAATCTCTTCTCTTGTGTAAGACTGAGCGGGGTAAACTCGACGGCCGTCATAGTGAGGTGGGTACATAGGTGGGTACTGTTGCGGCTGTGTGCCATACTGAGAGTTTACTACACGATCTTGGAGATAGGGCGGATAATGATCCAAGTACGGAGGACCAGGTTCAGGAGCAGACGGTGGAGGTCGGACAAAGCGGGACACACACTGTGGAGGTGCAGTGTAGTACATACCTGTACAGAACAAAAGAGGAACCAACCGAAGGCAACAATGAGTCAATTCAATTTTATAGAAAACCTTTTCTTTTAAAAGAACAAAACACACAAATTAATAATCCACTTATTTCTTTAGAAGTTCTCCCTGGACCAGCAGCTCAAGTCCCTAAGATGTCAGCATCCCATATAGGCACTGGTTTGAGTCTTGGGTGCTCCACTTCTGATCCAGCTCCCTGATACCGCATTTAGGAAAGCAGTGGAAGATGGCCCAAGTGCTTGGGCCCCTGCACCCACGTAGGAGACCAAATACCCATTCCACAGTTCAACTTTAAAATCATTCAGTGTGCAGTTTACCTTAGATATATTCTTTCTTTCACTTTCCAGAGCTGGTATTATCAGTAAACCTGGCTAACTTTCTTTTTTTCTTTTTTCTTTTTTTTGACAGGCAGAGTGGACAGTGAGAGAGACAGAGAGAAAGGTCTTCCTTTTCCATTGGTTCACCCCACAATGGCTGCTCCAGCTGGCATGCTGCGGCCGGTGCACCACGCTGATCCAAAGCCAGGAGCCAGGTGCTTCTCCTGGTCTCCCATGCGGGTGTAGGGCCCAAGCACTTGGGCCATCCTCCACTGCCTTCCTGGGACACAGCAGAGAGCTGGCCTGCAAGAGGGGCAACCGGGACAGAATTTGGCGCCCCGACTGGGACTAGAACCCGGTGTGCCGGCGTTGCAGGCGGAGGATCAGCCTATTGAGCTGCAGCACCGGCCCTGGCTAACTTTCAAAATTTATCCATACTAATTCATGTCTCAACATACTGGATTAACAGCATTCTAACTCTTCAACTCCAGACCCATCTTATCTTCCTTCAATCAATTTCTACCAAGCTAATAGTATTGACCACCATGACTGATTTATTTATTTTACTTACTTTCAGAAGTGGGAATGTCTGGCCTGCAGACTGCCTTGCACTGCCAAGGCAACTGCAGGTGGGACTCAAAATTTAATAAATTTATAACAGGCTAATTTTTAAAAAAGATTTATTTATTTGAAAGGTAGAATTAGAGAGAAGCAGAGGCAGAGAGAGAGAGATATCTTCCATCCACTGGTTCACTCCCCAAATGGTCATAATGCTGGAGCTGAGCCAATCCTACACCGAGAGCCAGGAGCTTCTTCGGTACTCCCACATGGATGCAGGGGCCCAAAGACTTGGGCCATCTTCTACTGCTTTCCCAGACCATAGTAGAGAGCTGGACAGGAAGTGGAGCAGCCAGTGTCCATACGGGATCCCAGCACTGCAGGTGGTGGCTTTAACCTGTTACGCCACAGCACCAGCCCCAGCAGACTAATTTTTAACTTGATAATTTTTTATGGCCCATGAATGTTATAATTTATTTGAATGGCAGAGACACAGAAGCAGTGAGAGAGAGAGAGGGAGGGAGAGAAAGGGAGGGAGGGAGGGAGGGAGAGAGATCGAGATCTTTTATCTGATGGTTTGCTTCCCAAATTCCCGCAACAGCCGGGACTTGGTCAGGACAAAGCTAGGAGCCGAAAGCTCAGTCTGGATCTCTCACATTGGTAGCAGGGATCCACATACTTGCATTATCACCTGCTGCCTCCCAGGGTGTGCATAAGCAGAAAGCCACTCCAATATGGGATATGATACACACATCCAAACCAGTACCTTAAATGCTGTGCCAAACATCTGGCACTGATCTTCTAATTTTTTTTTAACACACATGAATATACTATTCACATATTTTTTATTCTTTACTTTGACACTCTACTGCAAATGCTCTTAAAGTATGCATGCTGCATTTTATATATACCTAACTTACTTAAGCCAGCATCCCGTCCTAGAGCACTGGTTTGAGTCCTGGCTACTCTGTTTCCGATCCAGCCATCTGCTAAGGTGCTTAGGAAAGCAAGCATAAGTGGGCCCCTGCCACTGACATGGGAGATCAGGACGGAGTGCCTGGCTTCTAGTTTGACCTGGCCCAGTTCTAGATGGTTTTGGTCATATGAGGAGAGAACCAAAAGATGAAGATCTCTGTCTCTCCTTCTCTCTGCCACTCTATCTTTCAAATAAATAAGTATGTCTTGAAAGAGAAAGTCAGGGCTGGTACTGTGGCATAGTGGGTAAAGCTACCACCTTCAGTGCTGACATCCGATATGGGCGCGATTCGAGTCCTGGCTGCTCCATTTCTAATCCAGCTCTCTGCTATGGCCTGGGAAAGCAGTGGAAGATGGCCCAAGTCCTTGGGTCCCTGCACCGGCTTGGGAGACTCAGAGGAGGCTCCTGGCTCCTTGTTTCAGATCTACACAGCTTTGGCTGTTGTGGCCATCTGGGGAGTGAACCAGCAGATGGAAGACCTCTCTCTGTAATCTGCCTTTCAAATAAATAAATAAAATTAAAGAAAAGAAAAAGAAAAAAACTAAATTTTTCTAGAGTATTAAAAAAGTCATTTATTATTTTAAGGAGCTTACTGTGTAAACGAAAGCATGTGCCTGAAAAGTTCTCGTAACTCCTAGGAAAAGTGAACAACGACAGTTAAAGATTACCCTGCTGGTAAGGTGCTGGTTCAAACGGCGGAGCAGCTCCTCGAGGGTCCTGGTAATAAACATCTGCCTGCTGTGCTGGATACAACTGAGAACCTCGTGGGACCATCTGAAGAGGTTTGGTGACAGGCATAGGAGGCAGATCCGCTGGCCCCCTTGGAGGTACAGGATGTGGATTCACAGGTAAGGCGGAAATACTCTTAGGGACAGATTCTAGCCTAAAGGAATAAGATTATGAAAATGGAGTTTAAGACTCTAAAATAATTCCAATGTGTATATATACTGTCCTGTGTAAAACAACCTGGGAAACTGGTTTACCCTAAAAGTCCTCTTTTTTATTTCATCTACACTTGTTTCTTAAAAATCATAAATACAAGGAACAAGTGAAAAACAAAAATTAGTTTCATTAAAACAAGTATTCCTTCTGCTTTATGTCTCTACAGAAGATGTTTCAAGCAAGAGCTGGGAGAGGGGACATACAGGTCAGGAGGGGATCCTGGAGCACTGCTGCTCAGATGATCCGTCTTCGCCGGCTGCAGACCGGAGTCGTAGCTGGGCTCCGTGCCCCGAGGGATCAGCTGCGTCACTGCACTCCCCGCTGACCCAACTCCATTCGGCAGAGCAGGGGGTTTCCTGCTGGGCAGGTCCACTGCTGCTTCATCTGGAAGGAGAGCCGCCGGAGGCAGGCCCACCTCATTAAGCTGGCCCAAGGAGGCACTCAGTGGTCTCCGGGGAACCAGGCGTTTGTTCATTTTCCGAAATCTAGGTAAAAAGCAAAGGCACACACTTAACAAACAGATAAAACTCCCAAAATGTAAAAGTGGTTAAGAAGTAAAATATATTTAGGAACATTATTTTATAGAAGAAACTCTCATGATGAAATATTTACTCTTTCAACTTGAGAATCCTGTGTTTATCTTCTATAAAATATTAAGCAGTAAAACACACTAAGTATAAAATTCCTAATGAACATGTGTAATATTTACAATACAAATTATGCTACTGAAAAACCTCACGGGGCTGGTGTTGTGGCACAGCGGGTTAAGCCACCTCCTGCGATGCTGGCATCACATGTGGGCTCTGGTTCGAATCTCAGCTATTCAATTTTTTAAAAAAGAATTATTTATTTATTTATTTGGAAGGCAGATTTACAGAGAGGCAGAGGCACAGAGAGCCCTTCCATCTGCTGGTTCACACTCCAAAGGGCCGCATCCGAAGCCAGGAGCCAAGAGCTGCTTCTGGGTCTCCCACACGTGTGCAGGGCCCTAAGCACTTGAGCCATCCTCTATTGCCTTCCCAGGCCACAGCAGAGAGCTGGATTAGAAGTGGAGCAGGCCGGTACCGCGGCTCACTAGGCTAATCCTCCACCTTGTGGCGCCGGCACACCGGGTTCTAGTCCCGGTCGGGGCACCGGATTCTGTCCCAGTTGCCCCTCTTCCAGGCCAGCTCTCTGCTGTAGCCCGGGAGTGCAGTGGAGGATGGCCCAAGTGCTTGGGCCCTGCACCCGCATGGGAGACCAGGAGAAGCACCTGGCTCCTGGCTTCGGATCAGCACGGTGCACCGGCCACAGCAGCCATTGGAGGGTGAACCAACGGCAAAGGAAGACCTGTCTCTCTCTCTCTCTCACTGTCTACTCTGTCAAAAAAAAAAAAAAAAAAAAATGTGGAGCAGCTGGGACTCAAACTGGCGTCTATATATATGGGATGCCGGCACCTCAGGTAGCGGCTTTACCCACTGCACCACAGCGCCGGCCTCTACTCCACTTTCGATCCAGCTCCTTGCTAATGGCCTGGGGAAGTAGTAGAAGATAGACCAAGTACTTGGACCCTTGTCATGCATGAGAAACCCCAAAGAAGCTCCTGGTTTTGGCCTGGTCCAGTGCTGGCAGTTGTGGACATCCAGGGAGTGAACCAACAGACAGGTTTCTCGATCTTTCTCTCCCTCTCTGCAACTCTGACTTTCAAAATAAATACATCTTTAAAAATAAAATCTTTGGGCCGGCGCCATGGCTCACTAGGCTAATCCTCCACCTGCGGCGCCGGCACCCCAGGTTCTAGTCCCGGTTGTGGCGCCAGATTCTGTCCCGGTTGCTCCTCTTCCAGGCCAGCTCTCTGCTGTGGCCCAGGAAGGTAGTGGAGGATGGTCCAAGTGCTTGGGCCCTGCACCCGCATGGGAGACCAGGAGAAGCACCTGGCTCCTGTCTCCTGGCTCCGGATCGGCGCGATGTGCCAGCCGTAGCGGTCATTTGGGGAGTGAACCAATGGAAGGGAAGACCTTTCTCTCTGTCTCTGTCTCTGACTCTGTCTAACTCTGCCTGTCAAAAAACAAATAAATAAAATGAAATCTTTGATCCATCCATTGTGGTGTGAAGACTGAGGTAAGAATCCAAGTCTGTTGATTTCTCATAGGCTGTAGTTTTCTCGCCGTCTTCTTTTTTGACACTGCTAAGAAACGCTGCCTTTAGCACACACGCTTAAGTTCCTGATTCTCTATTGCATTCCACTGATCTGTATATTCCTATGCAATACCATAGTCTGTTTATTCTAGTTGATGAATCAGGTTAATAATTATGAGTCTAGATTCTACTGAAGACTTATTTTTCAGAATTCTCCTAGCTATTTACAAGTATTTATTCTTACAAATGAATGATTTTATTAAGCCCTTTACAATGTTGAAATTTTAATTTAGTATTTAAGAGAAAATAAAACTTTTATAATGCCAAGCTTTATCCAAAACACAGTATGTTTCTTCATTCATTCACTTCTTCACTTAAATTTCCAGGCAGCTCGCTAATTTACTTCATACAGGTCCTAAGCACAAGTATTTTTAATAAATTTATTGTTTTGTATATTTATCTTTTTTTTTGTTGTGGCTAATGTGAAAAGGATTTTTAATTTCAGCTTTTTTTTTTTCTTTTCTTTTTTTTGGGACAGGCAGAGTAAAGACAGGCAAGAGAAAGAGACAGAGAAAAAGGTCCTCCCTCCACTGGTTCACCCCCCAAATGGCTGCCCCAGCCGGCGCGCTGAGCCGATCCGAAGCCGGGAGCCAGATGCCTCCCTGGTCTCCCATGGGGTGCAGGGCCCAAGGACTTGGGCCATCCTCCACTGCATTCCCAGGCCACAGCAGAGAGCTCGTCTGGAAGAGGGGCAACCGCCAGGACAGAATCCAGCGCCCTACCGGGACTAGAACCTGGGGTGCTGGCGCCGCAGGCGAAGGATTAGCTAGAGCTGCGGCGCCGGCCAATTTCAGCTTATAAAAGTAGGGGGCCAGCACTGTGGTGCTGTGGGTAAAGAGGCCTGCAGTGCCAGCATTGCATATGGGTGCTGGTTTGAGTCCCAGCTGCTCCAACTGTGTTATCTTCTCAAATTTGGTATTAGTGCCATACTGGCCTTATAAAAAATTAAGAGGCTTTCTTTCTTCAGTGTGCTGGGAAATTTAACATTATCAGAATTATCATTGAAGTTTGTCAGAAAATGTGAAACTAAACCAAGAGCAAATTTCCTCAGTGGAAAATAATTATGTAATCAGTTAAAATCAGATAAAATTGATGAACTTAATTTTTCATAGTAAAAATGGTTCATTTTGTAGTTAACCTTAATAGTTTCCCATCTATAGGCACAATATAATGAAAACTGAAAAAAGTGCCTTTTCAAGATTATATATGACATTAATACAAGCTTCATAATCATTAAAGAGACTCTAACTTCTTTTTTGTATTTTTCAATGTTAGAAAATTATTCTACTTATACTTTATTCCAAAGAATTAGTCCCTTGAATTTCACACTTACTTTTCCAGTTCCTCCTGTGAGTGTGCAAATGTACAGCTGGCCCCACGAGGGCATCCTCCTCTCTGCTTCATATCCCGACACATATATGTTTTATATTTGCTATGCTGTGGAGGCTAAGACCAGAGTTAAAACATTAGACATAAACAATGCTAATCTTATGTTGCCAGTTTAGAATCTTGATGATCTAAATGAATAATTCATATTAATCCACTTTTATCTAAAGTACCAAGAGCAAAAGTGTTAGAAAGTTATTCTATCTGAAGTCTCAGTCCAAAAATAAATGAGTAAAAAAGTAATCCTGATTTTTCTGACATATAGGTATTAATCCTAAATGTGAAACATATAAATTCCAAGTATTACAATGTATAAACAAACAACTAGAGTGGTTTCAAAGGTATAAACTCTATTCTAATATTTGTTTTGCAGTGTTCAGTATAATAATAGATATGCTTCCTTATAACACACCACAAAAAGTACAAAAGGTCCCAGAACTAAAAAATATTCTATAACTAGTTGTTACTGGTAGGCAGAAGACTACACCAAATAAAGTATTTTAAAAGGTACAAATCAAACATATTATTTACAATATAAGGATAAGGCTTGAGGATAGATTTGAAAGCATATAAATGAGATATCAAACACAACACTAAACTGAAGCAAATTCAGAGTATTTTAACATTCATGGCAGACCTTAAAGGATAATCTATTTATTGTATTCTTCATGATATCCAATGGAATAAGGAGTTAAAAATTCTAGGCTTTCCCTATATTCTTAATGTTTGTTTATTTGAGAGACAGGCAGAGCTCCAATCTGTTGGTTCATTCCCCAAATGATGGGGGTTAGGCGAGGCCCAAAGCCAGGAGCTGGGAACTCAATTACTTGAGCCATCACTGCTGCCTCCTGGGGTCTGCATTAGCAGGAAGCTGAAGTCAGCAGCCAGAGTTGGAAATCAAACTCAGGTACAAAGATGTGAAGTGCTAAACTCCTGCTCTCCATTTTTTCTTTGTCATAAAGCTGTGACTTTTATTAAATTAAGAAAATCATATCTAGAATATTCAAATAAGCAAGATATTCTATTGTTAATATTTACTTGAGCCAGATAAGTTAATAAGAGTTTTATTCCACAGGCATACTAATGCAAAATAAAAGACCTAATGAACCTAAATCCAAGGGAAGAAATATAATTGGCAATAAAACTTAAAACTAGCCACAGCCTAAGGCACTATATTTTACTGTCATTTATTTCATTTTCAAAAAATTGAGGAAAACTTGGTCTACTGGCTCAAGAGCTATTATGACTGAAAAACCTTAAAATACTAATATAGAAAAATTATCAAGGAAAATGTCAATAGTATTGGGGAGATACAGCATTAGCATTAAGGAGTGAGCTATTATCAAACTGAAATGTAATTCAAAATAAAGAGAGTAATGTTATTTAAGTAGAATAAACATGAACACAAATCCACTGTTGTAATCAAATGCTGCTATATCCGATGTGAAAAGTGACCCCAGTACAACAAGGAATCAACAGACTAGTTAATTTTAATGTTGTCAGATAAAATTACTATGCTAATATGGTAAACTGGTTGCTAACCATGCCAAGGTAGTTTACATTTGTATAAGCAAAGTCTCAAAATATTCACATTATCTTTTTGGCTTTTCATCTGTAGCATACCCACAATGACTTGTAGGTAGTTTCAAGATATACCCACAATGGCTTACCTCTAAGTTTCATACTTATTCCTTACCTGTTGTTGGTCTGCTCCTTTTTTGCTATGGTTCTGAATATAATCAACCAGCCCATGTACCACTGTACGTACAGCAACCAACCCATTTTCTAGCTGTTCCCAAGTAGGAGGAGGAGCATCTATACATCAAATTAAAAGAAAAAAAAAACTTAAGTATAAATAGTAAGTTAATAAAGGAGTTAGTGTCAGAACTTCAGTGAAATCAGGGTAAGCTTCATGCAGTTTTCAGATAATAGCTTATTTGCCTAGCCATCATTTTAAAGGAATAGATAAGATTCTTTTAAAGCTGAGGTGGCAAACTAAAATAATCACAAGGAAAAGAAAGGTGACATAAAGAATTGAGGTAGGCCAGGCAATAATCGTCAGTTGTCTTCAGACCCTTGAAGTGTTGAAGAGACCATAAGAGTGACGGAAAGGTGTAGAACTGAGAGCACATCTTTTTTTGCCGTTGGTTCACCCTCTAATGGCAGCTGCAGCCGGCGCACTGCGCTGATCCGAAGCCAGGAGCCAGGTGCTTCTCCTGGTCTCCCATGGGGTGCAGGGCCCAGGCACTTGGGCCATCCTCCACTGCACTCCTGGGCCACAGCAGAGAGCTGGACTGGAAGAGGAGCAACCAGGACAGAACCAGCACCCCGACCAGGACTAGAACCCGGGGTGCCGGCGCCGCAGGCGGAGGATTAGCTTAGTGAGCATCGGCGCCACCTGAGAGCATATCTTTCATCTGATGCATATGGTTAGCAGGTTACTGTCATGCAAACATCCAAACATCAGTGTTTCCCCGGACAAATCCAAAATTCGAGATTTTCATAGAGGTAACACCTGATGCTAAGGATAACCATTGCAACAGTGAATGCAGAGAAAACAAAGTCCCAGGAGCATAATCACCTGCCTCGCACCTAGTGGGTAGGAGGGGAAAAAGTGATATAAACAAGATACAAGCAGCATTCAGTTCAGAGGAAAATCATAGGATTATGGGGAGATAAGGTGCCAGGAGAGTTTCTAAATTAAAGTGGCCAACAACATAATCAAATGCTGGGACCAGTTTGACACCCAACAGTTCCACTTCTGATTCGTTCCTTGTTAGTTAATGTGCCTGGGAAAGCAGTGCAAAGATGGCCCCAAGCGTTTGGGCCTCTGCACCCACAGGGAGAACTGGAAGAAGCTCCCGGCTCTGGGTCATTGCAGCCATCTGGAGAGTGAAACAGCAGATGGAAGACCCGCCCCCACTTCTCTCTCTCACTCTCTAATTCTGCCTTTCAAATAGATAAAATAATCTTTTTAAAAATTATCAAATGCTAAAGCAAATAAAATAATTTAAGGACTGAGAAGTCATCTCTGGAATTAGAAATTGGTAAGCTACTAGTGAATACTAAGAAAGTGTCAGTTGAGTAGTAGGCATGAACATGGGAACAGTGATAGACTTGAATGTGGGTAAAGACATGAGACTGGGATAATCTAACAAAATCTGTGATAAGATGAAGTATAAATATAAAGGACACTGGAGATGTATTTTCCTGGTAAAGTCAGCAAGTAAAAATTAAATAAGTATTAATTAAAGTGAGCTACCCTGGAAAAAAAAAAAAAGAGGACAAGGTTAGGGACAGAAATTAAATACTGTAGAAATATTCTGGAATAACTAGTCTGGGAATTCTAAAGAATACAACAAAAGACAATTCAAGAATCACTGAGTAGGACAGCGCCACAGCTCACTTGGCTAATCCTCCGCCAGAGGCGCCGGCACCCCGGGTTCTAGTCCCGGTTGAGGCGCCAGATTCTGTCCTAGTTGCTCCTCTTCCAGTCCAGCTCTCTGCTGTGGCCCGGCAGGGCAGTGGAGGGTGGCCCAAGTACTAGGGCCCTGCACCCACATGGGAGACCAGGAGGAAGCACCTGGCTCCTGGATTTGGATCGGCGCGGTGTGCCGGCCGCAGTGGCCATTTTGGGGGGTGAACCAACAGAAAAAGGAAGACCTTTCTCTCTCTCTCTCACTGTCTAACTCTGCCTGTCAAAAAAAAAAAAAAAAAAAAAAAAAAAAGAATCACTGAGCAGAACTGAGAGCATAATGACATACTCTAATTTCCCTTGGGTTTACCTGGACTAGGGTCAATGTTTGCCAACAGCTCCAAATGGGGTCTTAGTCGGTTCAAGTTTGCTGGGTCTCCAGTCCGCTGCAGAGCAATTGTTAGTTCCTGAACACTCTGTGCAAAAGAGGCTGGGGTCTGCAACTTAAAAAAAGATAAATATTAACTTTCCCACAAGCCAACCTTTCAAAAATAAGGTTATTTACAACATCACATTTTTGCAACTCTTTAAATTTAATTTTTATCCTTCCACAAACCAATGCTCTTGGTCAAACTGGATTACCTACTACCTGAACAAACTACATTTTTCTGCATCCACAGCTTGGTGCATTCTATGAAGGTTTGTTCCCTCTATTATCATTTTTCAAATGTGAGAACTTTCTCAACTCCTCTGTTTTCCCCAGGTCATTCGCAGGAAGCTGGATGGGAAGTGGAGCAGCTGGGACACAAACTGGTGCCCATATGGATGCTGGTATTGTATAGTCTGTGGCTTTATCCGCTAGGCCACAACGCCTGCCCCATGCATTACATTTCTTTTATTTATTTATTTACTTTTTTTTTTTTTTTTTTTTGACAGGTAAAGTGGACAGTGAGAGAGAGAGACAGAGAGAAAGGTCTTCCTTTTGCTGTTGGTTCACCCTCCAATGGCCACTGCGGCCAGTGCGCTGCGGCCGGTGCACCGCGCTGATCCGATGGCAGGAGCCAGGTACTTCTCCTGGTCTCCCATGCGGGTGCAGGGCCCAAGGACTTGGGCCATCCTCCACTGCACTCCCTGGCCACAGCAGAGAGCTGGCCTGGAAGAGGGGCAACTGGGACAGAATCCGGCGCCCGGACCGGAACTAGAACCCGGTGTGCCGGCGCCACAAGGTGGAGGATTAGCCTAGTGAGTCGCGGCGACAGCAGCCCATGCATTACATTTCATAACATACATTTTCTCATGATTTTCTGTAATCTTTGTAAGTTATAATCAGTTGGTTGCATAATTTTAGATATAAGTTCCTGTCTAAACCTAGGAAAACTTAGAAGACAAAGCAAACAGCATACATTATATAGAAACATTATGAATCCTTTTTAAAATGATCAGGACTTTAAAAAATATTTATTTTTATTTATTTGAAAGGCAGAGTGAGAAAGACAAAGAGGTAGAGGGAAAGACAGAGGGAGAGAAAGTGAGAAGAGCCGGGGCTGGGACAGCAGGAAGTTAAGAGCCAGAAATCCATTTTGGGTCTCCCATATGCATGTAGGAACTCAAATTACTTGAGTCATCACCTGCTGCCTCCCAGGGTATCCATTAGCAGGAGGCTGGATTGGAAGCAGAGTTGGAACTTGATCCTAGAAACTCTGGATATGTGGTGGCTGAACTCTGTGCCACCGTGTCAACCCCAGTTCTTTTTTGATATCAATCTACTATTATCATTCAAAGAATTCTGTCAGAATCATTGGGAATAACAAGAAAAAAGGGCAGAACAGTTAAGACTATTCTAGGGGCCAACACTGTGGCACAGTGGGTTAATGCCCTGGCCTGAAGCGCCAGCATCCCATATGGTGCCGTTTCGAGTCCCGGCTGCTCCGCTTCCGATCCAGCTCTCTGCTATGGCCTAAGAAAGCAGAAGATGACCCAAGTCCTTGCGCCCCTGCAACCACATGGGAGACCCAGAAGAAGCTCCTGGCTTCTGATCAGCACAGCTCTGGCTGTTGCGGCCAAATGGGGAGTGAACCATCAGATGGAAGACCTCTCTCTCTCTATCTCTCTCTCTGCCTCTCCTCTCTCTGTGTAACTCTTTCAAATAAATAAATAAGTAAATCTTTAAAAAAAAAAAGACTATTCTAAAGTCAGAGTGCCCATGTTCAAATTTACTTTTGCCACTTATTACCTTTCTGAGAGAAAAATATACTTGACTTCTGTTGTTGAATAAAAGGGATATATCAGGAGTCCCAAGAGAATTAAGTGAATTATTTTAAGCTACCAAATATATAATAACATTTTGTTAAGTATTAACTATTATAATTTGGGGGCTACTCTTACAATTTGACTCTTAACTCTCTAAGTTAAATGTAAGCAGATCACTAGAGTCAGTAATACTCTCCATGGTTATAAGTAATCAAATAGTGGCCAGCGCTGTGGGGCAGCTGGCAAGCCACCACCTGTGATGACCGCATCCCACATGGGTGCCAGCTTGAGGCTGCTCCACTTCCCATCCAGCTCCCTGCTAACGCACCTGGGAAAGTCAGTGGGAGATGGCTAAAATCTCTGGGCCACTACAGCAGCCGCTTGGGAGATCTGAAAGAAGCTCCTGGCTTCAGTCTGGCCCAGCCCTGGCTTTTGTGGCCATTTGGGGAGTGAGCCAATGGATGGAAGACCTCTCTTATACTCTCTGCCTCTGCCTTTCAGATAAAAAAAAAAAACCCACAGGGAACTCTTGAAGGAACATTGGAGAAAGCTGGATATGTATTACAATACCAATGAAATGTTTATTGAATACACTGGTATTATGATCTGACTAGTAATAACATGACCCTTGGCAACAGAATACAATTTATAAAAGTTAAACTTAGAGTATTCACTTTGATGCATTTGTTAAACTTATTACCAAATGACAAATAACCAAAACTCCAATATTATATTAAGAAGTAGGGAACTGGCATGGGCACTGTAGCCCAGGGAATTGGGTTGCTGCTTGGAAGCCCTACATCCCATATTAGAGTGCCTGATTTGGGTTCCAGCTACTCTGCACTTCCGATCCAGTTTCCTGTGAATGCCCCAGGGAGGAAGCAGATGGCCCAATTACTTGGTTCCTGCCACACACGAGAGCCTCGATGAAGTTCCTGGCTTCTGCCTTCGACCTGGCTCAGGCATTTGGGGGCAGGTGCAAGGTATCTTTCTCCTTGTCATTCTAACTTTCAAAAAAAAGAACCAAGGAACAAAAAGGCTCTACCTTATCAATAATGGACTGCATGTGAGACTTGTGAGACTGGTCTCCATAAAGCAAAGAGGACCACTGGTCTGGTGCAATACGTAAGCCTGCTTCCATAGCAATCTGCACTATTTGGGAGTCATGTTCTCGCCGAAGAGCTTCATAAGTTCTAAATTCTTCTTTCAGCTGCATCAAGGAAGAATCTTCATCACGTTTCGTGACCTGGTAAGACACAAATACTCTCATAATGAAGTAAAAAAAATGAGTTTATACATTGTATTTACACACATAGATAACGTAATTTTACTGTAACAAACATTTCTTGGGGATAGTATTGCGGCTTAGTGGATAACGCTCCAGTCTGCAATGCTGGCATCCCACATGGGTGCTGGTTGAGTCCCAGCTACTCCACTACCAATTCAGCTCCCTGTCTCTTCCTCTCTGTAACTCTGCCTTTCAAATAAATAAAATAAAGCTTAAAAACAAGTTTAATTTAGCAAAAGCAGCCAGATTTAAATTAAATGCACCATTTGGCTTGCAATCATTCCCCCCTTTTTGGATGCCCAATCCTCTGGATAGATCTTACAGAGAGAATGAAGATGTGCTGGAATGAAATTCAAAGACTGGATGGATGAGTACTGTGGTGCAGCGGATTAAGCTGCCACCTGGGACACCCACATCTCATATTGGAGCACCGGGTCAAGTCTGATCCAGCTTCCTGCTAAAGCACACTTGGGAGGCAGCAGACAATGACTAAAGTGCTTGGGCCCCTCCCACCAACCAGGGAGACACAGATGGAGTTTCAGGCTCCTGACTTCAGCCTGGCGATTGAGGGCATTTGGAATCAGCAGATGGAAGATTTCTGTCTCTCTTTTTCTCTGTCACTCTTTCAAGTAGGTGAAAATAAACTGATATTGGCCGGCGCTGTGGCTCACTAGGCCAACCCTCCGCCTGTGGCACCGGTACCCCGAGTTCTAGTCCCAGTTGGGGTGCCAGTTCTGTCCTGGTTGCTCCTCTTCCAGTCCAGCTCTCTGCTGTGGCCAGGGAGTGCAGTGGAGGATGGCCCAAGTGCTTGGGCCCTGCACCGGCATGGGAGACCAGGAGGAAGCACCTGGCTCCTGGCTTCAGATCAGCGCAGCGCCGGCCGTAACGGCCATTTGGGGAGTGACCCAAGGGAAAAAGGAAGATCTTTCTCTCTGTCTCTCTCTCTCTGTCTCTCTCTGTGTCTAACTCTGCCTGTCAAAAAATAAATAAAAATTAAAAACAAATAAACAAACATCAAGTAAATGAAAATAAACATTTTAAGAAAACTGAATAGCTCTTAACACATACATGCAGTTTCAAGTGTGCTTGTATGCAGGCACATTTTTGAAAAGAAACGATATGAATACAGTTAGTTTAAGAAAAATGTACATTTCTTCTACATCAACGTGGTTCATGATTCTTGGGCTTGCCTAGTACTGAGCCAGCTGAAACTGATAAACTGAAAAGCTTCAGATTCTGGTGTGATTCTAAATATGACTACCATTTCTATCTGGTTTAATTATCCAAGGAGTTTTGTGAAATGAACCACAAACAGAAAGAGTAGAGTCTGAGATGCTGGACTGGATTAATTATTATGATAATAAAAACAGCTACCAGTTAATAAATGCCAGTCAGTACATATTAACTATCACACTACTGTATTAACTTAATTCTCTCAACTTGCTGAGACAGATACTATTGTTAGCATTACAATAACTCACATTCCAAGTTAAGCTGGACATAGGATAAAGGCTTCACAAATCAAAATAAAGTAACTAGCATAGGACCATCCGTTCCCAACATATATTAGAACATATTCTGCCTTGTAAAGCTTTTATTTCAAGAAAGATTCATATCCTTCTATTAGAAAATTTCTATTTTCTTCCTCCTAGCAAATAAACTGCAGAATATTATAGTAAGGACTTCAACATCACAATGAAATAGATTTTTTTAAAAGATTTATTCATTTATTTGAAAGGCAGAAAAAGAGAGAAAGGTCTTCCATCTGCTGGTTCATTCCCCAGATGGCCGCACAGCCGGAGCTACACCAATTCAAAGCCAGAAGCCTGAAGTCTCCTCCAGGCCTCCCATGCGGGAAGGACTTGGGCCATCCTCCACTGCTTTCCCAGGCCAGAGCAGAGAGCTGGATCAGAGTGGAGCAGCCAGGACTCAAACCGGCATCCACATGGGATGCCGGCACTGCAGACCAGGGCTTTAACCCGCTGAGCCACAACACTGGCCCCAATGATATAAATTTTTAAATGTGTTACATCTTTACTACAATAAAGAAGATTTAACTTAACATTGTTAAGGTAAGTTCAGAGAAAGACTAAATAGATAGAAATCAAGGACTCATGGGCCGGCGCCATGGCTCACTTGGTTAATCCTCCGCCTGTGGCTCCTGCATCCCACACGGCACCAGCTTCTAGTTCTGGTTGCCCTTCTTCCAGGCCAGCTCTCTGCTGTGGCCTGGGAAGGCAGTAGAGGATGGCCCAAGTGCTTGGGCCCTGCACCCACAAGGGAGACCAGGAAGAAGCACCTGGCTCCTGACTTAGGATCAGCACAGTGCCAGCCGTAGCTGACATTTGGGGAGTGAACCAACGGAAGGAAGACCTTTCTCTCTGTCTCTCTCTCTCACTGTCTGTAACTCTACCTATCAAATAAAAAAAAAAAAAAATCAAGGACTAGTGTCACAAAAAATAACTATATTTTGCCATTATTTATAGGAAGTCAAAAGATAAAATGCATATGTATATGTACGTAATAACATCTCAGTGTCAGCTAAATCTTGAATAGCTATCTGTGCACGTTACTGCTAACAGTGACCTAAATGGGAAAAGCTGGATTTTTATAAATTTCTGGATTTTTTTGAAATCACTATTAAAGCTTTGAAAGGACTGAGAGACACATTTCATGGGTATTCTGATATTTTTGAGTCACTTATTATTCTTCCTATACAATAGTTTTTAACTACAACAGAATACTACCTATAGTCTTTAAAAGAAGAAAGAAAAATTGCTGGGACTTCCTGAAAAGATACAAGCAACTTTACTAAACCCGGTTTTGCCACAGTCTGAGGGAAAGGATGTTTCCTTTCAAGATGAACTGGAACACAGATTCGTACCTTGAAGCAGGAGGCTCTATAAAGGAGCTGAACAACATGTCCAATGCTGGTTTTAGAAGCTTGAGGAAACCGTGGTTCCAACCTTTGTACCACAAAGAGAACCAATACTTTTCTTGACAAAGCAGAACCATCTTCTAAGGCCAGCAGAACCAGTTTTAGAGCTTCCTCCTGCATTGCTAGGAAAAGTTGGGAGAAACCAGTTTATCATGTGTAGAGAGATAAGATAAATTCACTTATTAAAAGGGAAATAGTAAAAAATTTCTACAGGTACTACTCAATTAACAGGTAATACAATAAAGTACAGCCACAGCTTTTGTTTTTTAAAGGCAGAGTTAGAGACAGAGACAGATAGAGAGATATTTTCCATCTGTTTGTTCATTTCCCAAGTGGCCACGGCTGGGCCAGGCTGAAGCGAGGAGCCAGGAGCCAGGAGCTTCTTCTGGGTACACCATATGGGGATAGGGGACCAAGCACTTGGGCCATCTCCTGCTGCTTCCCCAGCTGCACTAGCAGGGAGCCGGATTGGAACCAGTGCCCATGTGGTATGCCAGCATTGCAGGCAGTGGCTTAACCCATTTAGCCCCAACATCAACTCCACAGCTTTACTATTAAACCATTTTTGTGGGCAGTTTATATTCTATGTATGTTGCTGTGGATTCATTCTGAGAGGAGAAGCGTGGTGGGGGAAAGAGGCGTGGAGTCATCACACAAACTCTGGGAATCAGGTGAAAGCAGGCCAGACGCGAGCAGCCAGCAGACTTTTTTATTTCAGTTGGTACAGCAGTTTATATAGCCAAGGCAGCCAATCCAGTCAAGGGGCGGTTTATGCCCTAACCAATCACAGCCTGTTGCCAGGCAGTTTCCGAAGCCATCCAATCACAGCCTGTTGCCAGGCAGGCTCTGTTGTCATGTGGTTTCTGTATCTTATTATGAAAGCAGACACATGATTGATACAACTAGAAAAAAATTCTATCAAAATAAATATTCAGTAATAAAAGAAAAATTTTAAGTTCTTTGAAAAACTAACTCATATGGAATTAACTTCAGCCATGACTATCAAGTGGGACATTTCTTGATAACAGAATATTGCAAAAAAATGAGTCTTTGTGCATCACTTATGGTTCCTACAGCATGTATTTAGAATAAATGCAAAGCTTTAATTCTATACCTGGTCCAAGGAACTGGCAGCCTCTGGCCCTAACTGCTGCCCAAAGATTAGAAGAGAGTTGCTGCGGATTCTGGTGCTGGAGAATGAGCTCTGTCACTGTTCGTTCCCCTAAAGATCGAGCTGCTCTCATGGCACGGATCCTGCCTTCTTCTTCCACTAGTTGGCAGTGGACCAGAGTCACAAGCTTCCTCTGCATCGGGCGACTCAGAACACTCTGAGTCGTGCTATTCAAACCCACTCCTTTGAAAAAGAACAAAAGTGAACAATGAAGCAACACTGAGTGAAGCCTACTTATCATTTTTAAAGTTTACAAAGGTATGTGTGAGTTACTTCATGTAAAGTTATTATCCATCAGGGTATCAATTCTATCATTATTCATTATAATCATGGAAGAAAAAAGGCCAGACAACAATAATTAGATTAAGATCCCAATCCTAAGGTGCTCAACAGTGCTGGCACATTGTTTCATATTACTTAATTTCACTCTCTTTTCATAATGTAGAAAGCCCTTTCTGGGCAGTATTAGCAACTTTTATTTTTATTACATTCCCTATAGCACAGAATGAAAAACTGAACAGAAGAAACACTATTCACAGTTGTCAAATGACAGAAAGATCTCCTAATCACTAATATATTTATACTTCTGGAATCATTTAAATAATGTTTAAGATCATTTAAGCTCTCAATTCACTGTTTTATTAGATGTGATTTTTTTTTAAAGATTTATTTATCAGCTGGCACTGTAGCATAGTAGTTAAGCCTTTTCCTGCGGCACTGGTATCCCATATGGGCACTAGTTCAAGTCCCAGCTGCTCCACTTCCGATCTAGCTTCCTACTAATGGCTTGTGAAGGCAGTAGAAGATGGCCCAAGTGCTTGGGCCCTTGCACCCATGTGGGAGACCCAGAAGAAGCTCCTGGCTTCTGGCTCCAGATCAGCACAGCTCTGTCCATTGCAGCCATTTAGGGAGTAAACCAGTGGATGAAGACCTCACTCTCTGTAACTCTGCCTCAATTTAAAGCTTTAAAAAAAAATCACTTATTTAGTGGAATGGCAGAGTTATACAGAGTTCTTCCATCCAATGATTCATTCTGCAAATGGCCGCAACAGCTGGGGTTGGGCCAGACAGGAGCCAAGAGATTCACCTGGGTCTCCCACATGGGTGGCAGAGACCCATGTAGTTGGGCCATCTTCCGCTGCTTCCCCAGGCACATTAGCAGGGAGCTGGAATGGAAATGGAGCACCTGGGACTTGAACTGGTGCTCATATGGAATGCTGTCCTTGCAGGTGGTGGCTTAACCTACTATATGACAATAATGGCCCTAGATGTGAATTTTGATGGTACTATTTTGCGTGAAATGAGTTTGATTTAAATACATGATATTCATTAATAATCACTGAAAAGTCACAATTTTAATGATTTTTTTTTTTTTTTTTGACAGGCAGAGTGGACAGTGAGAGAGAGAGACAGAGAGAAAGGTCTTCCTTTTGCCGTTGGTTCACCCTCCAATGGCCGCCGCGGCTGGCGCGCTGTGGCCGGCGTACCGCGCTGATCCGATGGCAGGAGCCAGGAGCCAGGTGCTTTTCCTGGTCTCCCATGGGGTGCAGGGCCCAAGCACCTGGGCCATCCTCCACTGCACTCCCGGGCCACAGCAGAGGGCTGGCCTGGAAGAGGGGCAACCGGGACAGAATCCGGCACCCCGACCGGGACTAGAACCCGGTGTGCCGGCGCCGCTAGGCGGAGGATTAGCCTAGTGAGCCGCGGCGCCGGCCTAATTTTAATGATTTTTAAAAATATTTTTAACTTGACAACTTCTTCTTCTTCCTTTTTTTTTTTTTTTTGGACAGGCAGAGTGGACAGAGAGAGAGAGGTCTTCCTATTTGCCGTTGGTTCACCCTCCAATGGCCTCCACGGCCAACGCATCGCGCTGATCCAAAGCCAGGAGCCAGGTGCTTCTCCTGGTTTCCCATGCAGGGGCAGGGCCCAAGCACTTGGGCCATCCTCCACTGCACTCTCGGGCCACAGCAGAGCTGGCCTGGAAGAGGGGCAACCGGGACAGAATCCGGCACCCCGACCGGGACTAGAACCCGGTGTGCCGAACTTGTCAACTTCTTACATTCTTCAAGTCTGATTTTTTTTAAAGGTTTGTTTATTTATTTGAAAGGTAGAGTTCGAGAGCACAACAGTCAGGAGTCAGGAGCTGCATTCAGGTCTCCCACATGGGTACAGGAGCCCAAGTACTTGGGTTATCCTCCCTGCCTTCCCAGGTACATTAGCAGATAGCCGGATCAGAAGTGGAGTAGCCAGGACTCAAATCGGAACCATTATGGGATGCCAGTGCTGGTGGCTTTACCCACAATACCACAATGCTGGCCCCCACAATTTCAATGCTAACATAAGTATCATTGACAGATAACTGCTTAGAATGGATATTCTCATCAGATTTACCTCTAGCACTGCTGAGTGGTTTCAGGTACAATGCTAACTCTTCTACACATTTCTTGGCTTCTTCATAATGCTTTGTATCTTCAACCCCACTACACAAAGTAATTGGCTGCTGCTCAGGGACCTGAAAACCAAAAGAAAATGTCTGAGTGCTCATTAATTAATTAAACAAATGTTTTATTATGTGTTGATTAATTGTAACATTGGCAACATCAAAACAATCACTAAATTTACTGAATTCTAGTTTTTTTTGGACAGGCAGAGTGGACAGTGAGAGAGACAGAGAGAAAGGTCTTCCTTTGCCGTTGGTTCACCCTCCAATGGCTGCCGCGGCTGGTGTGCTGCGGCCGGCACACCACGCTGATCCGAAGCCAGGAGCCAGGTGCTTCTCCTGGTCTCTCATGCAGGTGCAGGGCCCAAGCACTTGGGCCATCCTCCACTGCACTCCCTGGCCACAGCAGAGAGCTGGACTGGAAGAGGGACAGCCGGGACAGAATCCGGCGCCCTGACCGGGACTAGAACCCGGGGTGCCGTTGCCACAGGTGGAGGATTAGCCTATTGAGCCGCGGCACCAGCCTACTGAATTCTTTCAAAAGACTTTTCCTATATACACATAAATCTACTGCACTGTCTGTAACAGCTTTACAGAAATGCAAATTACATTCCATATAATTGATTACTTTAATGTATACATATCAATAGCTTTTAATATATTCACAGTTGTGCAACCAGCACCACAGTGAACTTACATTATCAATATTCCACAAATAAACCTCATGTACTTTTTTGAGTAAAAATTTACAAAGATTTGTTTCTCAATCGATCTGCATAATGTATTCATTTTATACCAGAACTATGACTTTGTGAAGCTGCTGTAATTGTTATACACCATAAAACTAGATGAGCGTTGATTAACTCATTGAGGTCCCTTATGTAATCAATGGGTACATATATCAATCCCCATTTTATTAGTCTTGGATCACATATCCATTCATTTATATGTTATAGTTTACTTTTTTAAGAAGGTTTTTATTTAATGAATATAAATTTCATACGTACAGCTTTTAGGCATATAGCGTTTCTTCCCCCCATCCCGTCCTCCCACCCCCTCATATATACTCTTTTTAACAGTCATCCCTTCATTTCTTCACAACCCCCTACCAGCCTTAGGAAACATGACTCTGTTTTCTACAGGAACTATGGATTTGCCTATTCTAGACATTTCATATAAACAAAATCACAGAACCAAAAAAATCTATGGTCGTTTCTTTATTTATATATGTGGTTTCCACTGACTTCTTCCACTTAGCATGTTTTCAAGCATTACCAAAGTTGTAACATGTACCTCTTTTTACAGCTGAATAACACTCCACTGAAAAGACATATCACATTTTATTTAAATAACCATCAACTGACTGACATTTGGGGCTTGTTTTGACTTTTTTTTTATTATGAATAACTGCTATGAACATTTGTGTACAAGTATTTGTGTGTATAATTTTTCTCTTGCATTTATAAGTATACCAAGGAGTGGGAGGCTCTGTCTAAACTTGAAAAACCACCAGACTATTTTCCAAAACTATTCACTTTACATACCTAGCAGGAGTATATAACAGTTCCAATTCCTTCACACACTTACACATGTAGGGACAAAGAGAGAAATCTTTCATTTGCTTGATTATTCCCCAAATGCCCGCAACAGGCAGAAACCAGGAGCCAAGAACTCCATCTGAATTTATCACATGGGTGGTAGGGACCCAACTACTGAAGCCATCATTTGTTGCCTTCTAGAGGGCACATTAGCAAGAAGGTAGATGCATGTGGAAGCTGTATGGAATGCTTCACCTTTCATTCACGGATTTCAAAAATTTCATTTTCAAGTGACAAACAATTATTATTATATATATATATATATATATATTTATGGAGTACAATGTAACAGCTTGACATGCTCACAACTTGAAATGATTAAATCAGGCTGACTGGCAGATCTGTCACCTCATGTAATTATCAGTGAAAAGCTTTAAAATATACTCACAGCAATTTTGAAATACAAAATGTATTAATTACAGCTGTTATTCTATATAATCACTGTCTTTTGTCTACCTGAAACTATGCATAATTTGATCAATACAACCTTTTTGCATCTCTCTTTGTTGCGCTGTGATTTTGATTTATATTTCTCTGATGGCTAAGGATACTGACCATCCTTTCATGTGGTTACCGACCATTTGTGTATCTTCTTACCACAGAGGAAAAGTGCGTTTTCATTACATCATATTCAAGATACATACTGTCAGCATGACTTATTGTTGATATTAACTTTGATCAGCTGGCTGAGACAGTAGTTACTAAGTTTCTCCAGTACAAAGTCATTCAGTCTCTTGCCTTCCATGCTGTACTTTTTGGAAGATTATCACAATGCATGACCATACTCATATTCTGCCTCCTTGAGGGCAGAGTACCTATACAGTCTGTCTGTAATCTCCCAGGTGGGGAGATCTGTTTCCTCCTCCATTTATTCAGGCAATCATTTGTCTTTTTTTATATAGACTCTTATGGATACTCTATACTTTGGAATTGTCTCAGTTCTAGAATCATCCTTTTCTCCAGGGAACCTTGCTTCCTTTTTCTATTAGAAACCAAGATGTGAAGATAAGGTATACAGATTACCACTGGAGTATTATTCCTTTTAGTTCCTACTAGCTGAAATATGTGTATGTAATAACCCAGGAATACACACTTGTCTATAAGTAGTTCTACATGTAATCATCTGTATCTGTATTAAGATAAGCATGTATTCATACTGATGCCTCCAACTATAATCCATTACCACATCAATCATTCCAGCCTCCTCTTTTTGCTTCTATGTAAACTGCAAGAATAAGGAAATTGGTTCCCATCATCAGCCATCTGTTTACTTAAATGTTCAACTACAACATATAAACATAGCAGAATTAACTCTTATACTCTTATCTATTTTTCCAAGTAGATTACAATTAAATCTTACAGAATTCACTGATTTTGACCCAAGTAAATATCTAAAGTTACTTCTGTCATCACATTGTCCCAAGTCTCACCCCTTTCTGTGAAGTTGTTTCTACATTTCATATGTCTTTTATAATCTCTGGACAGAAAGTTCTAGGAGTTTGTGATATATGCCAAGTATCACATATACACAATTAATAGCACCATCAAGTTTCACTGCCCTAGGAAATACCTTGCCCCTTACCAATTCAACTCCCTTCCTCATCCTGAATCCCTGGCAACCAGTGGTATTTTTTATTATTTTTAAAGACTTATTTGCTTGTAAGGCAGGTGACAGAGAGAGACATAACTCTTCCACGGGCTGGTTCACTCCCCAGATGACTGTCAACAGCCACAACACCAGACCCTCCATTTTCAGATTTTTAAAGAACTGCTATCTCATCTTTCAAAAGGCTATAAAATTTTACATTATCATCAGCAGAGTACAAGAGTCCCAATTCTTCATATTCTTGAATAAAACCTAACAATCTCAATAGTGTCTTTGATGCATAAAAGTTTTCTTCATTTTGATGAATTCCAATTGCATCATTTTTTTTTTAACTTATTGCCTATGCTTCTGTACCATACTTAAGAAATCATTGCCTAACCCAAGATCATGAAGTTTGCCCATGTATTTTATTTTTCTAAGACTTATTTATTGGAAAATCTGAGTGAGAGAAAGAGAAGGCGACACAGGGAGGAAGATCTTCCATCCACTGGATCACTCTTCCAAATGCCTGCAACAGGAAGGGCTGGGCCTGGCCAGCCAAGAGCCAGAAATGCCACCTTAGTCTCCCACATTGGTAGTGTGGACCCAAGCACTCGAGTCATCATCTGCCCCTTTCCAGGCACATTAGCAGAAGCTGGATGGGAAGTGAAGCAGACAGGACTTAAATCACTCCATATGGAACGTGGACATTCCAAACAATGGCTTACCCCGCTGATCCACAGTGCCTGCCACATCACCCTTGTACTGTCCAGTGGTTTTAACTCTTAAATTTAATTCTCTGATCCACTTTGAGTTAATTTTTACAATTAAATAATATAAGATAAAGTTCCAGTTTCATTCTTTGCATGTGGATATCCAGTTTTTCTGATATTATTTCTTAGAAAGACTGATCTTTCTCCACTAATACTCTTTGATAATTTTGTCAAAAATCATCTGGCCATAAATGCGCAGATTTATTACTGGGCTCTCTAGCCCTTTCCATCAATCTATGTATCTATCTTTATGCCAGGAGCTTAAGGTTGATTACAATAGCTTTGCAGTTTTGGAATCAGGAAATGTGAGTACTCTGTTCTGTTATTTTCAAGATTGTTTGGCTACTAGGGGTCTGGGATCCCTTGCAATTCTGCCTAAATTTTAGGATGGATTTTCTATTTCTTCAAACAAATACCATAGGGATTTTGCAGGACTTGCACTCAATCTGTAGATTGCTTTGGACAATGCTGTTTATAATAAGATTGCATCTCCTAATTCATGAACATATGATATTTTTCCACTTAGGCTTAATTCTTTTCAGCAACATTTTACAGTTTTAAGTATACAAATCTTTTAGATCCTTCATTAAATTTAGCCTTTTTGATGGTATTTGTGAAACTGTTTTATTAATTTCTTTTTCAAATTGTTCACAGACAGTACACAGATGTGCAACTGATTTTGGTTTGTTGATTTTGTATCCTGCAGATTTGTGCAATTCATTTCTTAGCTGAGAGGTATTTTTGGAATCCTTAGGGTTAAAACAGTGATTATCACATATTAAAATATACAATCTTCAGATTTCATAAACATGAATTGTTCAGTTAAAATAAAAAAGTTCTCATTTTGCAGAAAAATTAAGACAACTTAATGAGAAAAAACCAAGCCTTGGCTGTTTATTATTAAAATGCTGTAATTCTAAAATTGTCATCCTCAATGAATTTTTTTCTAAAATATTACCAAAATTCATATTGGAATTTTCAAGATTAAAAATGTCTGTAAAATGAAAACTTCAGTATAGGAAAAAATAATCAACTGCATTTTTCCTTCTGACAAACATCTATTGATTTTATTTGAAAGAGTTAGAGAGAGAGAGAGAGAGAGAGAGATCTTCTATCTGCTGGTTCACTTCCCAGATGGCCACAATGGCCGGAGCTGAGCTAATCCAAAACCAGGAGCCAGGACCTTCTTCCAGGTCTCCCATGTGGGTGCAAGGACTTGGAATCAAACTGGCAACCATATGGGATGCTGGTGCTGCAGGCTGGGGCTTTAATCCACTGTGCCATAGCACCGGCCCCTAGTAATGTTTCTGATGACATCAAGATATGGTTGCAAATAAAGTTTTTGTTTTGAATAAGCTATTCTAGAATATCTAGTATTTTATTAGATATCAACATAGCTAAAAAAACTTAGGTTTTAGCAATCTATAGTAAGATTAAATATTAGTAAGGCTGCATCCAAACATATATATTCAGAAAATAATTTATGGCAAATTTATAGAACTTTAGAATGGCATTATGCAACTTAATAGTGAAGGAATATCCAAATAAACTGTTATCTAGTGATAAAAAAAATACCTCTTTTGGCTTTATAAAATCTGGACACTCAATTTTTTTTTTTTTTTTTAAATTTTTTGACAGGCAGAACTAGACAGTGAGAGAGAGACAGACAAAGGTCTTCCTTTTCTGTTGGTTCACCCACAATGGCTGCTATGGCCGGCGCACCTTGCTTATCCGAAGCCAGGAGCCAGGTGCTTCTCCTGGTCTCCCATGGGGTGCAGGGCCCAAGGACTTGGGCCATCCTCTACTGCACTCCCGGGCCACAGCAGAGAGCTGGCCTGGAAGAGGAGCAACCGGGACAGAGTCTGGCGCTCCGACCAGGACTAGAACCGGGGTGCTGGTGCCACAGGCGGAGGATTAGCCTAGTGAGCCGCAGCGCCGGCCTGGATATTCATCTTTAAACTGAAAATACTAACATAAACTTTCAGGTATTACCTTCTAAATTATCAGACTTTCATATTTAGGTACCTAGGAATATTTGGTACCCTAAATAAATGGTTCCCCAAAGTTGTGGCTTATAACTTTTGTCACCTTTCTCACTTTACTTTTTTTTTTTTTTTTGACAGGCAGAGTGGACAGTGAGAGAGAGAGACAGAGAGAAAGGTCTTCCTTCGCTGTTGGTTCACCCTCCAATGGCCGCCGTGGCCGGCATGCTGCGGCCGGCGCGCTGCGGCCGGCGCACTGCGCTGATCCGATGGCAGGAGCCAGGTACTTCTCCTGGTCTCCCATGGGGTGCAGGGCCCAAGCACTTGGGCCATCCTCCACTGTACTCCCTGGCCACAGCAGAGGGCTGGCCTGGAAGAGGGGCAACCGGGACAGAATCCGGCGCCCCGACTGGGACTAGAACCCGGTGTGCCGGCGCCACAAGGTGGAGGATTAGCCTAGTGAGCCGCGGCGCTGGCCTCACTTTACATTTGAGTTAGTACCTAATTAAGTAAAACTTCCCGAAGTAGCTTCACCTTTCGTACCAGGAGAAGTACAATGGTTTCATATTTTCCTCAATTAAAAGATTCTTCTGACTTACTGCTTCAGTTTCTCTTGGGGCCAGTGCTAGGATGTCACAAGTGAAGTCGCCGCCTACAATGCCAGTATCCCATCGGCCCCGTCCAGATCCCAGCTGCTCTGCTTCTGATCCAGCTCCCTGCTAATGTGCCACGGAAAGCAGCAGAAGACGGCATAAGTCCTTGGGCTCCTGTATCTACATGGGAGACCCAGAGGCGGCTCCTGGCTCCTGTTCAGCCTGGCACAGCCCTGGCTGTTGCAATCATTGGGGAGTGAACCAGGAAGACCTCTCTGTTTCTCTAACTCTGCCTTCCAAATAAATAAAAAATAAATCTTAAAAAAATAAATTTCTCTGATAATCAGAACAAATATAATAGGACTGTTAAAATTCTGACCACAAAATTAAATGGATGTTACCGTACTATATACAAGTGAGAAACACAGGAAGACAATAAATTTCTTAACATACTAAAATAACAGATTTGCACTGCACAGAATAGAATTAAATCTAATTAAACAGAAGGCAATAGTACCCAATTCAATTCAACAGGTTTCCCCGAGGAGAAAAACACACACGGGAGATTAAAGGTATTAAGTCATGCATCTTACCTGAGCACCCACTAGCTGCAGCAATGCTGAGTTCACGGGGAGGAGCTCAATGTCTGTATTGATAGTGGTCTGGTCAAATGGACAAGCCTTGCGATGGAGCTTATTCAGGCACATCTTGCAGACAGTGTGGCCACAGCCCAAGCTGATGGGCTTTCGGATCGTCTCGTCGAAGGTCTGAGTGCAAATTGGGCAGGAGAGGAAATCCGTCCATTGCGGAGCTTGCACAGGCATCGCTTCTAGAGTTGCAATTTACTAACACACACAAATCTAAAGCAAAGATTCCACTGGAATCAAAATTTTTGAAAAAAGTTTATCTCTTTTTTTTAAATATCTTCTGTAGATACAGTCAGCACATAGTGTGAAATATAACCTGGAAGACAAAGAAAATGGAAAAAAATGAGTGCCACCTTTTTTAAGATTTACTTATTTATTTGAAAGTTAGAATTATACAGAGAAAGAAGGAGAGGCAGAGAAAGAAACAAAGAGAATTAAGCTATAAACTGCTGAAAAGGAACTGCAAGTCTGGTCTCACCCTACCACCTTTTTTCATTTGAATATTTTTATTTGAGACAGAGAAGGAGGCAGAAATAGAGAAAGGGTATCAGACAGAGACAGAGCGCGATACCATCTTCTGGTTCACTCCACAAATGTTCCCAAAGCCAGGGGTAGGCCAGGCCAAAGCTGGGATCTGCGAACTCGTTCCAAGTCTCCCACATGCAGGGTGAGTGACAGGAACCCAACCATTTAAGCCATCAGTGCCGCCTCCCAGAGTTTGATCAACAGAAAGCTACAGCTGAGACCCAAACCCTGACTCTGCAATGTGGGATGGCAGCATCTCAACCAGAATTAACCAGTGTACCAACATCTGCCCCTCTAAAGTATTATATACTAACAGGAATCTCTTTTAGGCTCCTTATACAGCCTATACTTTGTTTATCATGTAGAACATACTTATAATAGTTACTTCAAAAGAATAAATCCCAATTTAAGAAACAGAATAATTAGTCACCAGAACCCATATACAATCATATGTCATTGTCTATCCTGTTTTTGGTGGGAGACAAAAGACAAAACTCATCACATACATCTATCACAGGTTTTCCTTAAATAATTGATGCCCAGAATAATAAAACACTAATACAGTACTACAAGTTATGAAGATTTGATGATGCTCAGTAGTCACCTTACAAAGATGAAACAGAGGGGCTGGCATTGCATGCAGCAGACTAAGCCACCACCTGCAACACTGGCATCCCAGAGGAACATCGGTTTTAGTCCCAGCTACTCCACTTCTGACCCAGCTCCCTGCTAATGTGCAGGGATAGCAACAGACCATGGGCCAAGTCCTTGCACCCCTGCCACCCACATGGGAGACCTGAAAGGAGTTCTGGGCTCCTGGCTTCAGCATGACCTGGTTGTTTCGGCCAATTGTGGACTAAATTGGATGGAAAAGTCAATGTCTGTTTGTCTGTCTCTCTCCCTCTCTGTAACCCTGACTTCCAAATAAAGAAATCAATCTTTTTTTTTTAAAAGGTGACAAAGCATCTTGGAGGGGGTGGGCATTGTGGTACACCAGGTTAAGCCACTGTTTGAGAGTTATGTATCAGAGTGTCTGAGACTGAGTGGTACCTCTGCTTCTGATCCAGCTTCCTGCTAATGCACAGCCTAGGAGGCAGTGGAAGATGGTTCAATTACTTGAGTCCTTGAGTCCCTGTCACCCCTGTGGGAGATCCAGATGCAGTTCCTGGAACATGACTTCAGCCTGGCCCAGATCCAAATGTTGCAGGCATTTGGAGAGTGAACCAGCAGATGAAAGATACAGTTTATTCTCCCTCTCTCCCCATAATAAGTAAGCAAGTAACTAAATAAATAAATCAGAAAAAAAAAAATCTTGGAGCAGGCATTTGACCTAGTTTTAAACAGCTTCTTGGGGCACCCACATCCATGTTGGGGTGCCAGGATTTCAGTACTGGGCCAACTCCCAACGCCGGCTTCCTCCTAGTGTGCACCCTGTGAGGGAGCAGGTTGATGGCTCACATAATCTCCACCACAGGAGACCTGGAGTGAGTTCCCAGTCCCTGGCTTCAGCCCAGTACTAGTCCAGCCCAATCACTATGGGCATTTGAGAATGAACCAGCAGGAGGGAGCTCTCTGCCTCCAAATTAAAAAATTCTTATTTGAGATGTAATTACATAGAAAAGTAAATTTTGTACCTATACATCTTACTCTTCAGGCATTAAATTTAATTCATTCTGAACCTTAAATACAAGCCCATCACTGACAGAGAAAAGCGTTCATTCAGTGAGCAAAAACCATGCATTCATTCAACAAATATTTACAAGCACTATTTTGTGACAGAGTCTGAATTGTGAAGGCAGCTGTGAAACAGCAGTCACAGCATCGACATTCATGTAGCTAAGGCTACTGAAACTCAAATTTGAGTTTTTGCAGTGTATACTACTAGACAGTGAATGAATGTTGAAATGAGAATAAACAAGACATTTAATGCTTCAGTAGAAAGTTCCTGAATTAACATCATATTCAAGCTGTGTGTCCAAACAGTTCTTGCCATAACAAAAATAAAAGCAAATTATGAGACTGCCCACATTTTGATTGCTAAAGTAAAACATTATCAGTGCTTTTAATAAGCATCTACGAATGTGTAACAAGCAGGTTTATACATACATATATATATATATATATATCCCCCCGCAAAGAAACCTTTTAATTAAGGAATACAAACTTCATGCATTTCTTAAGTACAACTTTAGGAATATAGTGATTCTTCCCACAACCTCCCACCCCTCCCCTTCCTCCCCTCTCCCATTCCCAGTCCCAATCTCCACTAAGATCCATTTTCAATTAACTTCATATACAGAAGACTAACTCTATACTAAGTAAAGAGTTCAAAACAAACACACACACATATATTAAAGATTTTATTCATTTATTTGAAAGTCAGAGTTACAGAGAGGGAGAGGCAGAGAGAGCGAGAGAGAGAAAGAGAGCGAGTGCAAGTGAGCCTGCCCCTCCTTCCACTGGTTCACTTCCCAAATGGCCACAACACTCAGGGATGGGTCAGGTCAAAGACAGAATCCAGGAGCTTCATCCAGATGTAGGGGCCCAAGCACATGGGCCATTTTCCACTGCTTTCCTGGGCACATCAGCAGGGCGCTGGATTGGAAGTAGAGCAGCCTGGACTTGAGCTGATGCCCATGTGTGCAGTGCCAGCTTTACCCACTAAGCTCCAGCACTAGCTGTGTCCAGGTGTATATTAAATATTAATATATACCTAAGTATACATATATACTAAGATATTAACTCCCAACTGGGAGTTGGGAATCTTTTTACTTTTTTATTTTTTTGGAGTTGGAAATTCAATTCAGGTCTCCCATGTAGGCAGAAGGAACTTTCCCAGCCCCACTACTTGAGCCTTCCATGGTCTTTGTTAGCAGAATTCAGGAGCTAGAGCCAAACATCAAGCCCAGGCACTTTGACAATGAGTTTAGGTTTATATTATATTATTACTACTTCATATTTAAAACTGTCATCTGGATGCTAAAAATGAAATACAGTATCTAGGGGCCAGAGCTGTGTTGTAGCAGATAAAGAAAGCCGCCACCTGCAGTGCTGGCATCCCATATGGGCACCGGTTCGAGTCCTGGCTGCTCCACTTCCAATCCAGCTCTCTGTCATGGCCTGGAAAAGCAGTAGAAGATAGCCCAAGTCTGCATCTGTGTGGGAAACCTGGAAGAAGTTCCTGGCTTTTAATTGGCTTAGCTCGGGCCATCTGGGGAGTGAAACAGCAGATGGAAGACATTTCTTTCTCTCTCTGCCCCTGCATCTCTGTAACGCTGCTTTTCAAATAAATAAATAAATAAATCCTTAAAAAAAAAAAAAAAAGACTCTTTGATTCAGAGAGGTAAAAACGGAAACTAGTATTCATCAAGTATCTACTCCTTTGAGGCATAATTATGTCCATTTTACAAATGATAACTCTTGAGGTCTGGCAGCATTACCAGCCCAAAGCTAATAAACTGTTAAGATTAAAACCTAGGCCTTAGGTATGTAGAAGTTACTGCAATATATATTATATCAAATAAAGCCTCAAAGTAAGAGGGAAATCTTGGATCTCTTCCAAATTCACCCCATGAGATGAGTTTTTTAAACTCACTATCCTTGACCTTAACTTAATTTCTACTTTCTTTGGAACATTTCCATAGCAACCAACATGCAGGGCCACATCAGAGAAAAGAAAAATTTTAGCTATCCTGAAAAATGAAGCTAAAAAACTGCAGGTTCTTCTAGCGGTAATACATTGTGAAGACCCAATTCTGATCATAAAAACCTCTTCCCAAATACACAGACTAAATTATAACCCTAGTAGACACAGTATCTTTGACACAAATAATTTATTGTGTTAATTAAGTGCACAAGCAAATGAGTACAGCAGGTGTTTGGCCTAGATGTGAAGTTGTTGGTTAGGAAACCCATGTCCCACATCAGAGTACTTGGATTTAGTTCCAGGCCCCAGCTTCTGATCCCAGCTTCCTGTTAAGGTGGATGATGGAACATAGTGGTGACGGCCCAAATACTTGGGTTCCTACCACTCACATGGGAGACCTGGATTGAGCTTCTGGCTCCTGGCTTTGACCTGGCCCAACTATCGCTTTCATAGGCATTTAGGGAATGAATCATAGAAAGGAGATGTCCCTGTCCCTGTCTCTGTCTCTCAAGTAAATACATTTTTTTTAAAAAGATTTATTTATCTATTTGAAAGTCAGAGTTACATAGAGAGAGAAGGAGAGGCAGAGAGAGAGAGGTCTTCCATTCACTAGTTCACTCCCCAATTGGCTGCAACAGCCAGAGCTGGGCTGATGGAAAGCCAGGCGTCAGGAGCTTCTTCCAGGTCTCCCACTTGGGTACAGGGGCCCAAGGAACTGGGCCATCTTCTACTCCTTTCCCAGGCCACAGCAGAGAGGCTGGATTGGAAGTGGAGCAGCCAGAACTTCAACCCAGAGAAAGATGGCCCAAGTAATTGGAAAACAGAGATGAAGCTCCTGGCTTCCCAGGCCTTTGACGCCAATTGGGGCAAGAGCCAGCAGATAGATGATCTGTGTGTCTCTCTCTCTCTTTCAAATAAAATGAAATCAAATTATGTTTGTCCCATTCTTCCCCCAACCTAGAATCCTTTCTCCATTTTCTACAGGACTTAATGTAAATTCCCTCTGAGGAAGCCCTCCCTTATCATCTTACTTACAACTTGTACCCAACCCTTCAACTGCTCCCACTATCCCACAACATACAAACTGCAAACTTCCCACCTTTTTCCTGATTAACCTTTCTCCACAATCTTTCTCATCATCCAAA